ACGGTGAGGACTCGTGAGAGCTTGTCGGACGGTTTTTGGTTCAGGTATCTTACTGTCGTTGCGCTGTACTACTACTGCAAATCCCAGTATCTGCAATCCTGTTTCTGTAAAACGCGGACGTTCTTCGTTTGCACCTGCGAAATTTTCTTCTGGTCCTTCTTCCCCCCCAATTTCGTCAGGTGTAATACGAACGGCTTCGTTGGAGACGACAGGCATTGGTTGCTGTTGGCGATCGTGTTCATAACTGAGACGAACTTCGCGAACATCATCCGGGTCAGCATCTACAAAAGGAATGAATTCAGGTATGCCAGTCGAGGTTACAGGTTCGGGAACGTCAGTTGCAACAGCTTCGGATGCTTCAGAAACTGCTTCGTCCTGTACATCAGCTTCAGCCTCGTCGGTGGTAAACGCACGCGAGCTTTCGAACAGCCTGGCAGGGTTTGTGGCGGCTGCCTGGTGGGCACGAAAAACGGGCAAGGTGAGTCTTTCATAGAAAAGACAATCACGTGATGGAACGATTTGATGGGAGCGAAGATCCAAAATCTTCCATGCGTGATACTGTTTTTCGATGCCGAGATGTAACCCCATTTTGCTCGTTCAGAAAATTTGCCGAGAGCTGCAGTTGGAGGACGAAACTGTACAACACACCCAAAAACTCGTTAAAGTTTTGTGCTCCCCATTGTACGTGTCCACTGCAGGTGTGGAGAAGAGAACTCGGGCAGGGATGTTGAAGAAAGAAGATTGTGTAACAGCACGGTGTGGTCCATCGCATACGGCCAAAATTGCGGTGGAAGGGCTGCCTGCGTCAGTAGAGCACGCATCTTCTCCTGCAGAGTCCTGTTCATCCTTTCTGCTACCCCCATCTGTTGGTGTGTATGTGGCAGCGACTGCTTCCGTTTGATGCCGAGTGTCTGAAGGTAGTCTGTGAAGTTATTGCTGGTGTACTCCCCTGCACCATCGCTCTGAAATTCTTGCAGTTTCATTCCTGACTCTCGCTCAGCGACAGCGAGCCACGCGACGAAGACGGAGTGAGCGAGATGGCGCGCAGGTAAGTTAGCTGTCCAGACATAGCGTGTAGACGCCTCGATGAAAGTGATCACATACTTCTCGTCTTTAGGGCCTGCTTCAGACAAGGTGAGTATGTCACTGTAAACTTTCTGCATCAGTTTGTAACGAGTTGAACCAGGAAAGTGGCTTGGAAACGGATCATGGGTAAGGTTGGCAACTGGACAAGTGGTGCAAACCGTCGGACGAGGCTGCGGCTTCATCTCCGTGCCATCGGGTAAAAGTAAACTATTTTTATCAAGAACTGCTGCTCGGATTGAATGATTAAGAATCCCTTGTGATGGATGCCCTAACCTTTGATGCCATGTATCTTCCGTGGCTTTGTGTCCTGATGATCGCAGGTAAAAATCGGAGTTAGTATAAAAGGAAGAAAGAATGAAAGGAGAAAGAGCTGGTGACTTGTCAATTTCTCCTTCAACGAAACGGTGAAGTGGTAATGTAACTTGTGTTATTGCTGCTGCAGGTGCGAGTATAACCCCTGATACTGCTTCTGTTGATGTCGTGGTAGGTATTTCGGCGGCAGCTACTGTTGGACTCAGCTGTTCAGCTACTGCTTCCTGTTCTGCTTCTTCAACGACGTCATGTTCATCAGCTGCAAGACCACTTATCTCCCCCCAAAGTGGTGCTGGAGTCCCTTGGAAAGCTGCACGAGTGTTATAAAACGTTCGCCACGCGGTGGCGCTTTCATCAGCGGTATTAAACTCCCAGGTATCTAACGCAGTAAGTACGGCTGCTGCAGTTCGAGAAGCTGTTGGTACAGTTGTTGCTCGAAAGTCAATGTCTACGTGTTGATAGTCTGTTTCTTCGGGGTGATCCCAGGGACCAAGTGCAAGGACGTGGTCAGAATCGCCAGAAGTTCCCTGTGCTGCGAATTGAAGTACCGACACGCCATGTTGAGTGGCGGCACGACCAAGGTAGGTATTAGTTGTACTGTGCCAGAGCTCTTGATCCATCGTCTCACAATTTCCTTGTGTGCTGATTTTGTGTGCCAGGAGTTGAGCTGTGGAAAGAAGGTTGAAGCCAAGTCCGGCGACGATAAGAACATTCGTAACATGAAGTGAGTATCCCGTGTCGATAGATTCGAGCATGACACTGCCAACTGATCGTGCCATTATTGTTTGTCCGTTGGCGACTGTGACAGGTATCGGACGACGAAGCGGACGCTGATTCGTGATAAAGCTTGTTTCGGCAGAACACATACTGTATGCCATCCGCAGCAGCTGTCGAGATACCAGGTATTTGGTCCTGAAATTATGCGAGCAAGGTTAGCGTAAACTTGAGGTAAAGGAATGCCTTCAGCACTTGTTGGTTCTTCAAGTCGTGTTTCAAAATCCGTTTCTGAAACATCAACTGTTGTAACACATCCAAAAACTCCTTTTCCTGATGTGGCAGATGCGAAAATCGGCGAGCGCTGCTGCGACGTTGATGAACTCTGCTGCGGTTTCGGTATCTGCTACTGCTGAGACGTCAACTGCTGCTGTGGCGGTTGTGTCTTTGGTGACTGCTGCAATCGGTGATACGGCTGCGAAGTGCTGCGACGTTGATGACGGCTGCGACAATTTTGGTAAGTATGTCCTGGTTTCTTACAGAAATGGCAGAACGGATACTTTGGTGGATGTCGATGCTGTGTTTCTGGATTGGAGTAGAAACTTAAATGAACCCCCCTTTTCTGGTTGCGTTGTGACTGCAGGTCAAGATCTTGTTGCTCTGCTTGAAGATAAGAAGAAATTTCAGCTTCGGAGAGGTTGGGATTCATGCGCAGGAAGGCGCGCGTCTGTCGCCATTCGGGTCAAAGACCAGCCAGAAGGACCGTGAGATACATCTCACGAGGGAAGTATCCTCCGCTCTTTTCCAGTTGATCGCGTAGTGTACGGACTCGATTAACGTAGTCCATGACATTTTCGGTTGTCATCATTTGCACACTTGTCAGCTGCGAAAGGATTTTACTCACTGTTATCGTATCTTTTGCCATGTATACCCCTTTCAGATGGTTCCATGCAGTTTCGGCTGGTGTGAAACTCGAGTGAAATGATCGAACGCCAAGCTGCTCCTTCGGTGACAGGTTTCGTACAAGAACTGTATACGCCCCGCGAGAGGCGTGCAAGAAACTCTGCTGCTCCAGTTGTGTTCCCGTAACAGGATAGGTGAATTCTCCGGTGAAGAACGGCCAAAGCCCAGCGGACTGCGCCAGAAGCTCAAACTCAAAGCTCCAGGAGTAGAAGTCAACACCATTAAAAGGTATGGTTGTCTTGATCTGAGTATTGTTAAGTAGATTTGGAGGCTGAAACACAGTGCCTGGCTGTTGCTGTTGTTGCTGTTGCTGAGCTTGCTATGGTTGCTGATAATGTTGTTGCTGTACTTGCTGTGGTTGCTGAGCAGGAGAACGACCGAAGATATAAAAAGGATGCTGAAACTGCTGCGACTGCGGCTGCTGTACGAAAGGTGAGAAGGCAAACGAACCAGTATTTGGAGCTGTAGCTCCACGCATGTAACTTGAGCCGTCAAGGCTCATCCCACTGAACGCAGATGAAATTGATTGCGTTGAAACTCGTGGCTGTATTGACGCTTGCTGCTGTGTTGTCGTCTGTGGTTGTTGCTGTTGAGTTGCAGGTGCAGTCGATGGAGCACCTGGAGTATTTACAGAAGGCGGATTCTGATGTTGCATACCGATATTGGCGTAGGCTGGTGGAAAGTGCCCAGTGGCTGAGAGACCAGCGGCCGTAGTGGAGGCATGTGCTCCAGTAGTCCCAGTAACTGATCCGGCAGATGGTGCTGGTGATGAACCAGTCATAGTTGACGGTAGTCTTCATTCCAGATAGCTCTCATACCATGAAATAAATCTCCTAGTGTTGTAAAAGACTAAGTATAAAACTATAATTGCGAACACTTGGCAAACCCTCAAGTGCTGGTCCAGGATCTTTGCTGGAATGGTAGACTAGTAAGACAGCGGAAGTCTTGTAAAATGTAAAGGTCAAGGTTGAATAACCTGAGTACGTGAACTTGTGAGTAATCAAAGTTAATAAATGAAAAAGACCGAACAAGGATTATAGTTCTAGAAAAAGTACCTATTCGCTAATGTACCTGTTCGTCACTATCGCGCTATGCGCCCTAGATGATAATGAAGAGGTGCGACTGTTCGTGTGACTGAAACGACTGTCCTATGACGAGCGCTATTTGCTGACGTCATCCTACGGACTTATGTTCTACAGTAAGATTCGACACTAACTACACTTAATCGACTTACAGAAATGCTAAGTACCAATTATATCACAACAAAATTATTACAGATTCAAGGTAGGGAAGGAGGATTGGCCAAGGGAGAGCTTGTATGGGAGCAACAGCAGCACTAAGAGGCAACAGACAAATCTGGAGCACTCTGGGAATCCATGTGAGCCTGCTAACCCAGCAGATGTCACCCCCACCACATATCAATAATGGGCGGACGTTGTTTGTGGTAGGCGGTGATTGCATATGAGGGGTTGAGACAATTGCCACATAGCCCTTGCATAAGTTCAAGAGGGCCATATACCTTGGAATTAAACACACATAATACTAGTGGCTTGGGTCCAATGCATATTATCAACTCAAATGTTCCAAATCCAATAAGGCAGGCGGTACCATATTGGTTTCATTCTTGCTAATTGCAATACTTCAATATGATGGTTTTACACAAGATTTTTTACGCGATAAGCTTTGACTGCGAAACGTTGACATTTTTCAACTCGTCAGCCAGATTTCCCACAACCCGCCACACCGTCGCGCCGGCGTTGACAGACTCAACGACAGTCAGCGCCAACCATGTGGCCTGCCCTACAGCCAGCCCAGATTCGACCCTGGTGCAGTGCACCACCGCCCTGTGGAACGCATCACGAAATCCAAATGCGCGGTCCGCATCGAAGTTGAATATAAACCGCATTTCTTCACATTCCCACTCAATCCCCAAACGCAATTCCTCCTCGCACAGCATTCCACTGTTCCCAAGCCCAGCAGACTACTGTACTTCAATCCGCCTATTCTTCGTGATTCAGTCGTGCATTTGACGAAAGCAACCTGTCTCAGATGGCTCCGATCTCCCCACGTGCTGCATTGGCTATTCTTCTAGCTCTCTCTCTTGGAGGTGAGCAACATATCTATAAAAATTCCCTCCCTCCCATTAGCTCGCCATTTCTAAAGCACTGGATTTCTTTTTCTGTCCCATTCCACGATGTTCCTCTTCCTTCAACTCAAAACAGCCCATCCCACACGTCCCTCACTTGCAGCGCTCCTCGCTCCGTCCGCCCACTCCGCTCGTCCTGGTCTCGGAGTTCGCGCCAAGATTCTGGGTGAGCCTCCAATTCCCACTGCCAATGGCCTCAAATGAATTTTCATTCAGATCTCATTGCATGCGAAACCTCTCCAGGCTGACTGCGAGTGCTTCGAGCTTCTCGCACGCGCCAGGTTGAATTCTCGCTGTGCTCTTGCCCCTCTCTCTCTTCCGCGGCAACACTTTGCATGTCTCAACGAGAGCCCTCAACAGAGGCGTTTGAAAACATCAACACCCACTGAAGTTGCTCTTCTCCCTCCCACTGTTCCACTATACCAGCATCTCTCCATGGCAGTCTCACCACACCGTGCGCGGCACTCAACGCTCGCATTGGAGGCACTAGCAGCATTGTAGGAGCCAACGTGGGTGGCACCGCTGACATCAGCGTTCTCAGGAGGTAAGCCTGTTCTTTCAGCTGGTCTTTTCAGCATCGCATATGATCTTACAAAAGTAGTGCTTTCAAATGCAGTGCAGTTCTCTGTCAATTCAATGCGTTACATCTTGCAACACCCTCTGCGCGTTTTCCTGATGGGCATATTCACAAGCCATTCTTCACTAAAACCTATCCCTTCCCAACCCATGCACCCCAGGGGAGCATCCGTTTATCTCTCATACAAGATCACGGCCCAGGGCTTGACTCAGCGCCCATCCTCATCCCCTGCCATCATCACCCGCAGCCCCTGCTCTCCCTCCTCCTCCTCCTCCTCCGCCTCCGCCTCCTCCTCCGCCTCTTCCCCTCCTGCTGTTTCTGCATCCTCCTCTCTCTCTGGCGATGGCTCACTAAGCGCCTCCCTCTCGCCCACCACTGGCGCCACTGGCACTGGCTCCCTCTCCGCCTCCACCTCTCTCCTCAACTCCTCCCTCTCTGCAACCACAGGTGGTGGTGCTGGAGCCTCCCTCTCTCCCGACGGTTCCCTCTCAGGCGTGGGAGGTCTTGCCGCCTCCACCAACCTCCTCAACACCTCCGCATCTGCTGCTGGCAGCGCTGACGCATCCCTTCCCAGGGGCACTGCTTCTGGCTCTGGCTTTGTCTCTGGTTCTACTGCTCTCCTCAACACATCTGCCGGCGTCGGAGCAGGAGTGGGCGTGTCTCTCCCCAACGGCACTCTTTCCGGCTCTGCTTCCCTCGGAGCCTCCTCCCCTCTCCTCAACACCTCAGCTGGCGCCGGCGCTGGCGTCAATGCAGGCTCGGGAGGCGTCCAGGCCAACCTCGGAGGCTCGGCAAACCTTGATCTCTCCCCAGCGGGGCTTGTTTCTGGGGTGGGTGGGGTTGTCTCTGGTGTGGGCGGGGCTGTGGGGAATGTGGTCGGTTCGGCGGGGAAGGCTGCAGGCTCGGTGGTAGGCACAGTGGGTAATGTCGCAGGCTCGTTGATCGGCACTGTGGGGAAAGTGGCAGGCTCGGCTGCAGGCTCGGCAGGGAAAGTGGCAGGTTCGGTTCTTGGCTCGGTCCCCTCAGTCCTGTCTCCCCTGATGGTGCTGCCTGGCACCTGGGTGACAGTCGCAGGTGGTGTCAATGCTGGAATCAACACTGCTGCTGGTGCTGCTGCTGGTGCTGCAGGTAGTGTGTATGCGGTGGTGGGAGAGACGCGCATCTCTGCTGATCTCGCCTCGTCTCTCCTCGCTCGCATCTCCTCCCCCTCCTCCGCACCTCTCTCCCTCTTCCTCCACCTCACCGGCCAGCAGAACCTCATCGCCTTTCTGGAGTAATTCCAGCATTTGAGTCAACTCCAAGTCGAAATCTCATAGCCTCATTGGAGTAATCTGGCTGGGCCAGTGGGGCGATCTGGTCTGGGCGTTGTCAGTTGGGGGGTTGGCGCAAGGAAAGCAAGTGGGAAGGATGCTTGGATGCTTGGACGTAGCAGTGCTGGTTAGAGCCTCATTCAACTTGATGGAATGTGCCTCGCGGTGCCTTGAGAGTGGGTGGCTGGTCGGGTCAGCTGGCGGCTGTAGAGGCAAGCTGAGGCTTGTCAGCAGGTCACAATAGCTGAGGTGTGGAGTGGCAAGCTGGCAAGTTGTATCAAGTTGAATGTACCGAATGTACCATGAAGTTATCAAAATGGAAGATATTATTGCAGCAGAACCTTGATGTTGTTTCCAGCCGGCGTGTGCTAGCCCCTGTTGTATCCCATGTCATAAACCGTATCGCCACCACCACTGGCACCACTGTCAGCAACACCACCACCACCAGCCACAGCAGCAGCAGCAGCAGCACTGAGATGACTTCAGAGTCAACTCAAAAGCCCACTGTGTACTAGCCCATGTCATAGCCCAAATCATAACCCGTATCTCCACCACCACTGTCAGCACCACCAGCCACAGCAGCAGCAGCAGCAGCACTGAGATGACTTTAGAGTCAACTCAAAAGCCCACTGTGTACTAGCCCATGTCATAGCCCAAATCATAACCCGTATCTCCACCACCACTGTCAGCACCACCAGCCACAGCAGCAGCAGCAGCAGCACTGAGATGACTTCAGAGTCAACTCAAAAGCCCACTGTGTACTAGCCCATGTCATAGCCCAAATCATAACCCGTATCTCCACCACCACTGTCAGCACCACCAGCCACAGCAGCAGCAGCAGCAGCACTGAGATGACTTTAGAGTCAACTCAAAAGCCCACTGTGTACTAGCCCATGTCATAGCCCAAATCATAACCCTTATCTCCACCACCACTGTCAGCACCACCAGCCACAGCAGCAGCAGCAGCAGCAGCACTGAGATGACTTTAGAGTCAACTCAAAAGCCCACGTGTACTAGCCCATGTCGTATCCCATATCATAACCCGTATCTCCACCACCACTGTCAGCACCACCACCAGCTACAGCAGCAGCACCACCGCTACCAGCACTCGCAGCAGGGCTGGCCGACCCGTCTCTTCGCACAAACCCTCCCTGAATCCATGTGAACCCTCCACCACCACCACCACTGCCACCGCCACTACCCATACGAGGCAAGGCGCCACTAGCACGCAAGCCACCACTGCCCAGTCTTGCTAAAGTGCGGCTTGCATGGGCCCCAGGGCTTAGGGCCCCAGCAGCAGCAGCAGCAGCATCAACAGTAGTGGCAGCACCAGGATCAGCAGCAGCAGCAGCAGCAGCTACAAGGCTGAACCCCGAACCAGATCGAGCAACACCCGGCTTCGCTCCAGCTCCTCCCGGACCTGCTGCCGCCGAGCCAAACCCCCCGGCTCGGAGCGACCGGAGCTTGCCGCTGACGCTATCAGCTGCAGCGACTCGCAGCCCGAATGCAGCAAATCCGGATGGAGAGGCAGGGGGGTGGCCGGGTGGTTTTGAAGCATTAGGGGAGGATTGGTGCAGTTTCTGATACTCCTCTGTCCGCCTTGTGTTCACAAACACAGCCCCCCCTGATGCTGCCTCGCTTCCTACTCCTCCTCCTCTTCCTCCTCCTACCCTTCCTCTTCCTGCTTCTACCAGTCCTGGCCTCGACAGTCCCAGTCTTCCACCCCCAATCCCTCTCCCTCGCCCTCCAAAGCCGGAACCAAAGGCTCCAAAGCCCCTCACCCCCCCTCCATCACCACCTCTCCCTCCTCCTCCTCCTCCTCCTTCCCCTTCCAATCCTCCACCCACTCCACCTCCCCCCTCCCATCTTCCCAGACCCCCCGGGGCGAGCCCCATGTCTCGGGGAGATGGGGGGGCAGGGGAGGGAGAGGAGGAGCCTCCGAAGCTTCTGGTGGCAGAGGAGCGCGAGTGGGAGTGAGAGGGGGGGTGGACGGAGAGATTGTGCGGGGGATACGGGCGATGGAGGGAAGAGTGTGGGGGGAATAGTGCACTCCCTCCCATTGCCTGCTGCTGCTGCTCGCGCTGTGATTGAAACTCATGCTCCTGGGCTGGATGTGTCTGGTCGTGACTGCCACTGCTTCCCGCGTCACTTGCTGCTGCTACTGCTCCTCCCCCTCCTCCTCTTCCTCCCCCTCCTCCTCTTCCTCCCCCACCTCCCCCGGCCCCATCCCTCCCACCCTCAACTCCCCTTTCTGCCAGCTGGGCAGACCAAGCTGCCACGTCATTCTCAATAGCAGCCACTCGAACTGCTGTGCTGTCTCTTGCTGAGCTGTCCCGTGCCATTTCCAGGCCCATCATGCCACCTGCTGCTGCTCTTTCTCCTTCTGCTGTTACTGCTGCTGCACCTCCAAGGGCCGGTTTGTTTCGGTTCTTCCAGCTCTGCATCGCCAGTCGCCCCCTCTCAAACCGCTGCCTTGCTGCCTCTGCCTCTGCTACAGCTGCAGCACCAGCGTCAGTAGCAGCATCAGCATCACCGTTTCCACCGCCAGCAGCAGAGAAATCGGACTCCCTTGGGGGTTCTGCATCTGGAGCGGGCTCAGCAGACGTGCTTGTCTGTATCTGCCACTGCTGCTGCTGCTGCCGCAGCCACTCCTGCTGGCGCTTGTGCTCCTGCTGCTTCCACTCCTCCTGCTCCTGCTGCTGCTGTCTCTGTTGTTGCTGCTGCCCGTTCTGACTCCCTTCCCTAGAACCAGGCGCTTGGCCCAACAGCAGCGGCTCCCCTTGATTCCCACTCCCCGAAACAGATCCACCACCTGAAAAATCACCTGACACAGGAAAAGAAAGAGGATTCTCCTGGGCACTAGCACCCGCAGCAGCACCGCCAACACCAGTACCAGCACCAGCACCAGCACCAACCCCAGCTGCAGCAGTCGGGGGTCGCAGCCAGCGGTTGAGCCAGATAGAAGCCGCTTCCCCACTCACCTCAGGCCGCTTGGGCCTCAACCCAAACGGACCGAACCCCCCACCCATGCTCATTTTCACCCCGGCCCCTACATACCCCCCAGCTCCTGCCCCTACTGCTTCCCCTGCAGCCCCGCCCCTCACACTGAATCTCTGCCCGCCTAAGCCTGTGTCCTCCCTGTTGTCTCCACCCCTCCCCGCGCCTAGCTGCATGCTGCTGGGAGGGCGATACTCCTCGTACCTGCTCATCTCTCCGGATGCTGCTGGCCGCAAAGCTTCGGAACGGTCCTCATGGGGAGTGGCATTGGGAACGGCTGCTTCCTCTGCTGCTGCTCTCGCTGCTGCTAAGGCCGCAGCTGCTGCTGCTTCTGCTGCTGCGAAGTCCCTGCTACTCTGGGAGCCGAATCTCTGACCGACCCCCATTGTATGTACCCCGGCCCTTCCCATTCCACCGCCTCCTCTTCCCATCCCCCCTCTTCCCATCCCCCCTCGTCCTCTCATCCCTCCCACTCCCGCCTCTCCTCCCCCCGCTGAAGGCACCATGGCATATTCATTCAAAGTTGACCCCTCCTCCCCTCTCCCCCTCCCCTCTCCGCCCACTCCCACAAACTCCCCCACAGACTCCCCCCCAAGTCTTCTTGACACCGGCCACACAGCCCCCTCCCCCTGCCCTTCCGCCCCTCTTCCCCCTGCGCCCCCTTCCCTGCTCTCACTAGACACATAGCCTGGTGGTAAGGGCGGAGGGGCGGAGTTGCTACTGTTGCTGTGTGCCTCCCACTCGCTATTGTCACCTGCAGCTACAGGAGCAGCACCAACCGCTACAGGAACAGCGCCCACTGCTTCGGGAACAGTGCCCACGCGTTCCCAAGCCTGCCGCGCTGCTGCGGCAGCCGCAGCTGCTGCCCAATCCGCAGCTTCGCCCGAGGCTGTGGAGGGAGGCTCGGGAAGGGCAGAGACTGACGTGGATCCAAAGAATGCTGAGTCACCGTAGCCCAGGCTCGGCCCAGGATGTGGCCCCACTGCCCCCACTCTCTCATACAGCCCAACCCCTATCCTCCCTCGTCCCCCTCGCATTCCTCTGCCCCCAGCACCACCAAGAAGAGCACCTGACGGACTGCCAGCAGCAGCAGCAGCGGCAGCTGCAGCAGCAGTAGCAAAAGCATCATCACCACCAACAGCAGCAGCAGCAGCAGCAGCAGCAGCGGTATCACCCCCCCCACCGCTGTCCCTAAACGATCCTGCTTCTTGCTCCTCCTGCTGCGAGCGGTGCTGGGTTTGCGAAAGCAGCGAGCGATACATGGTGAAGAGATTAGAGGGGGGGAGGGCGGCGGCAGTACCGGAGGGGAAAGGAAAGCGACTCCCGGTGAATCGGTTGTCAGTTAATCGATTGTCCGAGAGCTGATTGTTGAGGGACTGATGCGCTTCTGCCTCCCACTCCTTCTCTCGCCCTTGGCCCCTTCGCCCACCTACTTCCCTCTCATCTCCCACCCCCCCATCCCCTTCCCTCTCCTCTTGTACCTCCTCCCCTCCTTCCTCCCCTCCTTCCTCCCCTCCTTCCTCCTCCCCTGCGTCCTCATCATCCTCTTCCCCCATTTCCTGGTCGAACTGAGGGTTAACTCGCCTTCTAGCCCCATCCAGAGGGTAATTCCGTCTTAGCCCCTGATACGCATCTGAAGCCTCTCTGTTGGCATGCCCTGACGGACTACCTGAATATTCGCCTGAGACAAAACCCCCCTCGGCCCGTTCCCCTGGGCTCCAACCCCGCAAAGGAACACTCTTACTATTCTCCGCCTGCCCTTCCGCCTGTCCTTCCGCCAAATCCGCGCCTTCCCCTCCCCGCCAGTTCCCCCCGCTCTGGTCGCGCGCGCTCCCCTGTTGGCGGAACTCGCGGTACAGCTGCGCCGGAAAGAGTCCTGATGGTGGGGGACCCCCACTTCCGCCTCCGCTCCCGCCAAATCCCTGCGCGGGATAGGCATCGCTGTTGATCTGCCGACTTGGCGCGGCTCCTACTTCCGCCAGCCTCGTTTCCGCACCCCAACCCCCGCCATCCTCTCCGCCTATTCTCCGCGCAAGCTCAGCGTGTTCCGCGGGGCCGTTCCCCGAGTCCAGCACGCACTTATTGTCGAAGGAGAATCTAAGCGACGACGGCTGGCGCGCATTTGTCGCGTAGTGGGGGAGGTGGGGCTGGTGCTGGTTGTGTTCCGAGAATGGCGCAGGCCCGGAGCTCATGCCACCGCCTCCAGTGTCGTTGCGCGAAGGCGGGTGGCGGAAGGACCGGGGGGATTCCCCCGGCGGCATGGAGAAGGAGGCGGAGCCGAAGGGGAATGAGTTTATTGGAGGTGCGCTGGAATCCATGCCCGCGTTGTACACACGCGCGTTGTCCGATATAAGCAAAAAATCAAACCAACTAAACTGAAAAGTTTAACGCAGCCACGGAAACGGGACAATCTCGAGGAGGAAGGCGCTACAGGGTTCTTATTTTATTTAGAGCCGTGATTGAAGCGACAGAATCTGCAATGTCAGGTGTTAGGAAGCCCGATCGGTTCTAGTGAGTGAGGGAGCGGTTAGGTAAGGGACTTCAAAAAACAAACAGAGAGCTAACCCTAATGGAGCAACGGTAATCCCCTCCACAGGGCGAAAACCTAATTCCAGACTGTGACACCTGGTGTCCACAAAATTCCCTGCTCGAGTCAGTGCTCGAGTCAGTCCCTATCGGTCCCCCCCTGACGAATATTATCGTCCAAATACATGCCGGGTTTCGCGTGTGCTTGCTCCCTCCCCCAGTGAAAACCACCCGACCCGAGGCAGCAAGCACCACAATCCTGAGGAGAGGAGAAAAAAGGCGAGATAGCGGTACACATACAAACAGGTTCAGAAAACACGTTCTAAATGGAATACTTAATATGGAGGTATAGATCCATAACAACTGTGCACATTTTTATACAAAATGTATCTTGAAATAAATTCAGTTCAAATTATATAATGATAAGTGAACAAAAATCAACAAGCCATGGCCAGGCATCATGGTTGGCGTTTATCCACCATATTAACAAAATGTTGGTGGTGCTGTAACGCTTGTAATCATGATGGCTGGCCACGGTGTGGAAGAACCAGAAGGCAAGGGGGAGCTCCTAAGCAGAAAAGCAGGGAAAACCAATCCCAGGCACTCCAGCCATGCTGCTGATATATAGAAACTTCCTCTTCAGCTCCAGAGGTCGAACCCAACAGCAGCAGGTGACAACCCCCAAGGTGAAACATTCACCAGCTCAGCATCACTCCCAGGCACCTCCTCATGGGTTGTAGATGGTAGCGCAGCAGGAAAAGCCACGGGCTCTGGTGCATTGAAAGCTTGAGACTGTGCCCCTCCCACTGCTCCCTGAACCTGTGTGAGAGCCCAGAGTATGGCATCATTTGCATCGCCACCACCACCACCACCCACACATTGCTCCTGGAAGCCATCTCCGCTCAGTAAGCCTCCATTGCCATTCATCCGGTCGTCAAATCTGCCGGAAGTCGTCAAGGAGGTGAGCCTGGCCGGCAGGTGCTCATCCAGCAGGTTCATGATGTCTGTCAGCATGTCTGCCTGCGCCTCGCACGTCGCCACAGAGCTCGTACAGGGCAGAAAGCTGCTGCTCTCCTCTGCTGGCTGTGTGGGGGTGTTGGAGGTGTGGTGATCCTCCTCCACCACATCAGAGACCTCATCAGAGAGGGAATGCGAATGGCCGGCAGAGGACAGCTCGCTGGGGCCGCTGCTGCTGTTGGGGGACTCAGGCTCGGCGACATGCTCTGCATCAAAAGGCATAACAGGGGTGGAGGGCTCCATGGCACCACGTGGCTTCGCGTCAAGCAGGGGCTTCAGGTCCAAGTAGGGGATAGTCTGGCCTTCCTCCTTCACAGATGCAACCTTGAGTTTGCCACCCTCAAATTCCCAGGCGATCTCGCTGCGCGGGCAGCTGTGATTGCCAAACGGTGACGAATCAAACCCACATGGAGCAGATGCCTCGACAGCAGCACTCGGGCGGAGCAGAACGGCCAAGGCTGCATCATTCGTGTCCTGCTGATCTGGCGGTGGCTGTAGAGATGGCTGGAATTGCACCACACACGCCTCCTGCTTCACAGCCAGTGGTGGCGGCCTAGGGGTTGTGAAGCCACTAGTAGACGCCCATGCTGCTTCCCCACTTTGTCCCCCTTGCTGGTGCCTTTGTTGTTTCTGCTGCTGCTGCTGCTGCTGCTGGTTCGTCCAAGCATCTTCCGCAGTGGGTCCAAGCAGCACCATCTGCTGGCCCTTGTCGCCTGAAATCACTCGAAGCGGCGCCACCGACGCCGCAGGGGGGAAGTCCGCCACAACCACGCTGTCGCCCACCGCCTCCAGCCGAACGACGTCACTTGAGAAGTTCGCTGACAGGTCGCACGCACTGTCGCCAACAGCGTCGCCCGCCTCGCCCGCCTCGCCTGCGACGTAGAGGCCCTCGCTCCCAGCGACGTCTGCAGCGCACGCGGCTCTGTTTTCGCGGACCGTTCGGAGCAGTGCTTCCGCGATGGCGCGCGGAACGGCGACGGGATGCGCCTCATGGGGGAAGTTGAGCCTTCCGCCGCCTCCCCCTCCGCGGATCATCCGCGCGGCCATGTCGTACACCCTCGCGGCCTCGTCCGCCGTTTCGTACGACCCCAGCCACACGCGAATCTTCGTGCGAGGGTCGCGAATCTCGGTTACCCACTTTCCCCATTTTCGCTGTCGCACGCCCTTGTAACGGCGACCGTGGTAGCTGTGAGCTGCGACACCCCGCGGCAAGGCGAGCTTCGGGTGCGGCGAGGGAATCTGATCGTCTTCAAGAGGAACTTCCTCTCCCTCTCTCTCCAGGACGAGAACCGGAGGCGTCTCGAGTGCGAGTCTGCTGCCCGGGAAGCTTGGCGACGCGTTATCGTCGTTGTTGTTTAACGGATTATGGTGATGATGACTACTGGTCATGCGATGCGAGCCGCAATGCCGCTTCAGGTTGTTCAGCAGAGGCGACTCCGAGTCGAGGGACGACTCGCGCGCGAGCAGCGACGGGCTGGCTCCAGCTGAGGTCGGCGTGGCGGGATGCGGTGACGTGGAGAGCAGAAGGGGTGACGCGGAAGGAAAGGGTGACGTGGAGAGTAGGGGTGACGTTGACGGAAGCGGTGACAGATAGTTCGTTCTGATTGAAAAGTCGTCGAGCTTTCGTTTCGGAGTGACTAGCGGCGGAGGGCGGGAGGCCGTTCGAAATGGGCTGGGAGGCGATAGCGAAAGATTCATGTCAGAAGCATGGAGTTTTCGAGCTACTAAAAAATAATGCAGGTAGAATCTCAAGTCTAATCCGGTGAATAATCTCTCAGCTTCGTACTTATAGCAGAGCGGGGCGTCACTCACTGCTGCGGAGCTCACTGGTGGGGTCTAGAGCCTACCAGATGCGACGAGAGGCGTCCTGGTGGGCGCGAGCGTTAGGCCGAGATAGTTCGCGAATGTGCTAGGAGAATCGAGCGTTGCTCTGCTGGCAAATGTCAAGAGCGAAATTAGCGGGTGGTCTATCACATCTCAAAATTCCAGGATCAGAAATACGGAGTAGGTATACAGTAGGTATGGCATAGGTACGTCTGCTACGGAGTAGCCTTGCTATACGAACAACTATACCTACAATATAGGAGAGATCCACATTTTTGTGATGCACTATGATCAAATCCAGGGAGCTCCAGCATGCTCTTTATACAAACCTCGACCACCGAAACACTCCCCAAAAGCTGCGGCGGCAATCCCTAGGCTGCGTGTGCGACTGCTCTGTCGGACTGACCATGCGCGGCTGGGGCGAAAATTGATTTGCTCGCCCCCGCTAACACAGCTCGATGACGCACGCACAGCTGGAAGGAAAGCGGGGGGGTGTCAGTGAGTCGCAGGGCAGGGCCTGTGCAACTTCGCTCGCCTGCGATTTGGTTGGGAGGGATCGTGCGGTGCGCGGTGCGCGTTAGGCGCCATCCGGTGATCCGACGGTGATGCGGGAAGATCAAGAGGGCTCTGGGATGTATAGATCTTGTCGTTTTCTCCCAAAAACGATGTTGTGAGCCCCACAGGCGACAAACGTGACCAGGGCTTCTGCTAGGTTCCTGCGGCGCTCGGACGTTCAGGGCGCCCCTCGAAGCTTACCCTGAAAAAAAACGGCACGGCCAAATCGTGCCCTGACAAAAGGGGTTCGCACCAGATCCCCTCGGCCAGATCCCCTCGGCCAAATCCGAGCTGCCTTTAAAAACGCTCTTTTATCTGTCTAGTTAAGTTTCATTACGAATCGCATATATGAATTGTCCATAAAATTCAAGTTATAAATGCATGCAATGTCTAAAAAATGTTTAGAGGTACACTAGCCAAGAACTCACATCACACCAACCTGCGTCACGGACAGAAACAGCGAGCGAGATTTGAGGGGCCAACTGACTGGAGGAGGGGCGAGATTACTGGAGGAGCTGAAATGACTGGTGGACGAGCGAGATGAGGTGCGCAACCTGACTAGATTGGCAGGGCAGCACACGTGAGGTGAGGAGGAAGTTCTCTCGCGGGGGGGGGGGGGGGGGGAGTCTGGCTACGGGTAGCCTCAAACTTCTCTCGGACAAAAAGGCTGGCACCCAAAATTCCCCGGAAAACCAACGAGAGAGTAAAATTTCAACTCTTTTTTTCAAGGGCTGCCTAAAACAAAACCCTGAAAATCAGTCAAGAACGGGCATTCACCCTGTTAGCATAAGCCCTGAACGTGACAACATCGTTTCAGTTGCCCTGGGAAAGTGCAGCGTCGGCGAAGGTCACGCGAAAGTATACGCAAAATTCCTTCACGTTGACTGCGAACCAAATTGCGAAGCATGATGTTACACAAAACAGGACTCCCATAAGTGGTATGTTTCTTATTTAGTGTGCCTATGTTTCTAAGGACCTTTGCGGCGCACCACATGCCCAAAAGGCGTGGCACCTCCCTTGCAATGCCCTCCAACAAGGTATTCCCTGTCTGGCCATGGCCGGAACCGTGTGGTCGTAGGGTCATTGGGATCTGTAGGCTTGCATGGGTCTTGTTTCTCACTCCACATTGTGCACCGACCTGAGAATATCGAAGGACGTGAAACAAACACAGACCACATGTAGAAACAGGGTTAATTATCCGTCTTCCCAGCAAGCAAGCAAGAGATAAATAAGAAAGAGAAAACGTACACCCCATTGCTCACCTTGTGGTTTCTCTCGATGATACATCCAGAAAGCGCAGCCCTCAGTTTTACGGCAGATAATCCAGCAGCTGTGGGCACGGTTGGCCGGACCAGTTGTATTCTCCCCCAGATGGCCCTTCCCTTCATGGTCGAACATGAAGCCTTTGAGTGCCACATTGCACATGAGGTCAGGGCAGGAGGCTGTGGCGTTGGGGACTGGCATATGGGTTGGTACAAAGGATGGTTGGGATGGTACAAAGGATGGTTGGGATGGTACAAAGGATGGTAGGGATGGTACAAAGGATGGTAGGGATGGTACAAAGGATGGCACATGGGGTGGCACATGCCATGGCACATGGGATGCCACATGGGATGGGACATGGGATGGCACACGTAATGGCCCACAGGATGGCACATGGGATGACACATGGGATGTATGTGTCAAGGGGTCAGTGGAAGGGATTAAATTGGGCATTCGAACACTGAAGCTGCATTGTTAGTCCGCACACTTGCACAACATGCAGGCGCCGGGCAAACTTCCCCTGAGCAAGGCACGCTCAGCTTTTACCTCTTTTCATCCCGGCCGCTCCTTCCACTGTCAGCATCGGTAGCCGCCCTCCCGCCCCTGCCGCGTGCGCCTGAGACGTCTGCTGCTGCCCCTCCAACTCCTGATGCTTCCCCTCATACCCCTGCTGCCGGGACCGTCCCTCCCTCCCTCCATTCGACACAGGCCCACCTCCCCCCATCCCTCCTGCCACCGCTGTAGCATTCGCCCCAGCCCCTCTCTGCCCTGCTGGTGTGGGGTCGGTCCCTCGCCCGCGCTTGCTGCGGTTGCAGCCGCCCCCGAAGCCGAACACGCCCTTCCAGGGGGGCGTGGGGTTGTAGTGGACGGGGTTGGCGCCGTCCGTCGGGTCCGCCAGGCACGGGCTCTGCTCCTCCCGCCACATGCGGCAGAATGCTGGACGGGGTGGGGGGGGGGGAGTGGAGAAAGAAGAGGGAAGGTGGGGGAGAGCATGACGAAAGGGAGGTGGGCAGTAGCTCTTCCTGGGACTGTCAGGTTGCCAGGCACGGGCTCTGCTCCTCCCGCCACATGCGGCAGAACGCTGGAGTGGGGGAGGGGGTGTGGGGGGGGGAAGGGGGGAAGAGCAGGGAGAGGGGAGGAGGCCCGTAGCTGATCCCTGGGACTGTCGGGTTGCCAGGCACGGGCTCTGCTCCTCCCGCACATGCGGAAGTACGCTGACAGAACGGAGGGGACGGGAAGGGCGGGGGGGTGGAGGGGGGGTGAGGAGAATGGGTGGTCGAGAAGGGGAGCAGGAAGGAGAGGGCGTTGTTCAGCCTTCCCGTGCGACAGAATGTTGGGAGGAGATTCAAGAGATTGCGAGCAGGTGTCGCCACCACTATGTTAAAGAACAAAGCTGAAACGGCGCAGAGGCCGCCAAAAAAGGGCGGGAGAGTGAATACGAAGGGACAGTAACGGGGAAAAGCAAGGCATATAAGCGTTTAGTGTTCCGACCAAGCGGGGGAAAAAGCAGGTGTTTGACCTAGGTCAACCCTCCTCCTTCCTCCACCACCCTCAGCTGCCAGATGTAGCATTCCGGCGTGGCGGAGCACAGCATCGCGCACGCCTGGACCACACCTTGACGAGGTGTTTGACCTAGGTCAACCCTCACCTTGCACATACTAGGTCAACGCTCACCTTGCACATACTAGGTCAACCCTTACCTCCTTCCTCCACCACCCTTAGCTGCCAAATGTAGCATTCCGGCGAGGCGGCGCACAGCATCGCGCAAGCCTGGACCTTCTGCCGCTCGTCCTTAATCTCCTGCTCGCCCAAGTTGCCCCACGCGTCGTGGTCCCAGATGTACCCGCGCCGCATCATGCCGCATTGCAGCGACGGACATTCGTGCGCGAATACCGGCGGATGTGCGAAAAGAGGGAGGAGGAAGAGAACGGATAGATAAAAGCTGGTCGAAACAGACTTATCGCGCATGTTGCGTCGGTGCATTTTCTCTGACGGAAAAGAAAGACTGGTAAAAGTGGCAGAACCGATCGTTAGAGTTTAGCGGGAAGTGCGGCCAAAATGGGTTGCATTCAGAAATCAGGTTTTGGTTCACCAGCCCTCGCCAACTGGGCTGCTGATGTTTTCTCCTGAGCTTTCGCCAGCGCACTTGGCGAAGCCCAAAACCTGAATTACCAGGCGCGCATGCAAGGAAATTCGTTTTCGCATGGAGCAAACAGGTGCAAAGCAGCGTCTGCGAGGAAACTCTATAGAGCTCAGCGAGAATCAAGTGGGCGCGACTAAAATGTAACACGTTACCCGAGGTCGCGAACAAAAGGGTCAGACAACCTGACGACAATCCCTGTGGTTGGGCTTTCCCGCCTGAGTAATTTTTTCCTTCCCAGCAGTCAGTAAGGTGTGAGCAAGTCTGTCACACAACTCACCAACTGGATTCCCAAGGTCAAGGTCAGAAACAGAGGCAGGACTAGGAACCTCAGCCATGATGTTCTCTCCCTGACGGTCACCAGTCATTGCAGTAGATTCCGAATGCCAGGATTTAGCGGAAGTTGCATCTCAGGAACAAAAACACAGTAGTTTGAAGGCCAGGAGCACTACGAATAGTTTCTGACGATCAGGAGCAGCTTCCTACGTGAGAGATTTTGTCGCGGAACCTTCTAGCTTCTTGGCACCGCCGCTGTACGACCGCCTAGGTGCACTGTGCGACCGCTTAACTTCATCTGGCGTCGCGCGTGCGAGGAAATGGCGGTGGAGTCGCTGGCGACGCTGTGTGTGGTGTCGCTGATCGACCATCGCGACCTGCTGGGCGACCTCGGCGACATGGACCTGTCGCTGCTGCGGCCCGTGTTCGAACACTGCACGGCGGACCAACTGGACCGGATAGAGAATGAGAATAAGGTTAGATTCAGAATAGCAGCTTTTTTTCTGCATCAGTCATAGACCTACGGGGTTCGAGCACTGCACGGCGGATCAGCTGGACCGGATAAAGAATGGGAATAAGGTCAGACTGTGAACAGCTGATTCCTGCATCAGTCAATTGACCTGTCGCTGCTGCGACCCGTTTTCGAGCACTGCACGGCGGATCAGCTGGACCGGATAGAGAATGAGAATAAGGTTAGATTCAGAATAGCAGCTGATTCCTGCATCAGTCATAGACCTACTATGTCTAAAATGTACTCGGTAGTACCGGGTTCGTACACTGCACCTCGGATCAACTCGATCGGATAGAGAATGAGAATAGGGGTCAGACGGAGAACGGCTGATTCCTGCATCAGTAAATTGAACTGTAGCATTTTGAGTCGAGTCAAGATTCCTGCATCAGTAAATTGAACTGGCGTTGCTGCGAACCGTGTTTAAACACTGCAGTGCGGATCAACAGGATCGGATTGAGAGCGGTACTTAGGTCAGGTTCCTGCTTTTGAGGCGCCTCAGAAGCAACGGATCGGATTGAGAGCGGTACTTAGGTCAGGTTCCTGCATCGGTCAATAGAGTGCTCGTTACTGCGTCCCGTCGTCGAATCCTGTACTGTGTGCTTTCTGGTTCGCATCGGGAATTAGAAAATGTCAGAAATGAGTTGTTAGAACCGGATTCAGTCAAGATGCGACTAGCCTCACCTTCTAAACGATAATAATATCTGGATGTTTCAGTACTCACAAACTACTTACCACTAAGTCCGTGTCTCTTCCGCGGCCCTTGTTCAGGATCGTGACTTCACCCCTTTCACCGACGACCTCTGGCAACGGTGCTACGAACGCAGGTATGCTCGCCTCGACTGCCCTCTTTCTCCCCCTCCTGTCCGTCGCTTTCTTGCAATTTCCTTCTCCCCCGTACCAGCATGCTAGTGACCGAATCACCCATTCAACCATTCACCCATTCACCCATTCACCCATCCACCCATCCACCCATTCTCCCATTCACATAATCACCCATTCTCCCATTTACCCATCCACCCATTCTCCCATTCACCTAATCACCCATTCTCCCATTTACCCATTCACCCATTCACCCATTCACCCATTCACCCATCCACCCATTCACCCATTCACCTAATCACCCATTCTCCCATTTACCCATTCACCCATTCACCCATTCACCCATTCACCCATCCACCCATTCACCCATTCACCTAATCACCCATTCTCCCATTTACCCATTCACCCATTCACCCATTCACCCATTCACCCATTCACCCATCACCCATTCACCCATCACCCATCACCCATCCACCCATCACCCATTCACCCATTCACCCATTCACCCATTCACCCATCACCCATTCACCCATCACCCATCATCTATCACCCATTCACCCATCACCCATCATCCGTCACCCATGACCCATGATCCAGGTATGGCAACGACAGCGTACAGCAGGTGCAGGACAGAATGAGGCAAGCAAAAGTCCTCTACACTTGGCGCCAGCTATACCATGTAAGCTCTAGGCTCTAGGCCCCGATACCTAGGTCTATGACTAGGTGCAGGTCATTGCCATATGAGCTCTGCAGTTGTTTCCCATGTTCCGCACGGGAGTAGAACCATTCAAGTCACTCCCTCTCATCACCATACTTGCATCTCATGTCGCTTCTCTCCCCACGCCAGGCTCGGCAGCAGGCTGATGATCGTTGCCATGAAACCTCTGCCAGATTTTTATTTTCAATTCCTGCCCGCCTTAGAGCCATCGAATATTCTCCTTCCTCGCATTCCGGCCCTCTCCCCACGCCAGGCTCGGCAGCAGGCTGACGATCGCACGCAACAGAAGTGTGTGTCAAGGCTGAAGGAGCTCTACCACCAGGCGGACGAAGGTGAGGCAGACGAAGGTGAGGCATACGGAGGTGAGGCAGACGAAGTTGAGGCAGACGAAGGTGAGGCAGACGAAATTGAGGCAGACGAAGTTGAGGCAGACGAAGTTGAGGCAGACGAAGTTGAGGCAGACGAAGGTGAGGCAGACGAAGTTGAGGCAGACGAAGGTGAGGCAGACGAAATTGAGGCAGACGAAGTTGAGGCAGACGAAGTTGAGGCAGACGAAGTTGAGGCAGACGAAGTTGAGGCAGACGAAGGTGAGGCAGGCGACGGTGAGGCAGACGACGGTGAGGCAGACGACGGTGAGGCAGACGAAGGTGAGGCAGACGAAGTTGAGGAGTTGTAAGAGAAGGCGGCAGAAGGTAAGACTCTGTTAACCAAGGTAAGGCGCTGTTAAACAAGGTGATTAATGCCTTCAGGCGACAGAACTGGCTCTCCCAGGCTGAGGAGGCGGCAGACTGGACCGGACAAGATGATGTTTAATCAGACGATGCCGGTTCAGCCTCCCTTTCTGCTTTACTTGGCTAGTACAACAAAACTCCATCGTATTTTTCTTGCCACTCTCGGCATGTGCTCCCCCCGTGCCGTTGTATGCCCTCATCATTGCCGCCTATGCCCATTCATTCTTCCTTCGCCTGCGGCTGACTTTTGAGTCGACTCGCCGTGTGTGTCTTTTGAGCTGACTTCACCTCGCCGTGTTCTCCCCCCGTGCCGTTGTGTGCCCTCATCGTTGCCGCCTATGCCCATTCTTTCTTCCTTCGCCTGGGGCTGACTTTTGAGTCGACTCGCCGTGTGTGTCTTTTGAGCTGACTTCACCTCGCCGTGTGCTCCCCCCATGCCATTGTATGCCCTCATCATTGTCGCCTATGCCCATTCTCCCTTCCTTCGCCTGCTGCCACCTCTCCTCGCGTTCCCCTCCCCCCAGTGAAGAAGCAGCGGCAGCTGAGGGTGCTGGAGAAGCCCCGCCTCTCAGTCACGCGCAGACGAATGTTCTCCTCAGGTGTGCGCTCAGGTGGTTCCCTCAGGTGCTCTGTCAGATCGTTCTCAGGTGATTGTTTCAGGTGCTTTTTCAGCTGTGCCATCAGCTTGGCCACCTGGTGTGTTGTCACTGGTCCTGGTTAGCTTATTACTTTACGGTCCTGCTGGCCCTGCTGGCCCTGCTGCTCCTGCTGCTCCTGCTGCTCCTGCTGCTCCTGCTGCTCCTGCTGCTCCTGCTGCTCCTGCTGCTCCTGCTGCTCTTGCATGCCGACACTGGTCCTTACACGTACTCTGCTCCTGCTGTGCTTACCCTATCATCACCCCGCTCTGTCCCAGCAGCGTCCTCCTCGCAAGCAGCAGCATGGGCAGACAGGGCAGGCAGCTCCATACTCAAGAAGGCCCGCCTGGGATATGCCAACAGGTGGGCGGGTATGCCAACAGGTGGGCGGGGTATGCCAACAGGTGGGCGGGGTATGCCAACAGGTGGGCGGGGTATGCCCACAGGTGGGCGGGGTATGCCAACAGGTGGGCGAGACATGCCAACAGGTGGGCAGGGTGGGTGGCTTGGACGGCTGAGGTCATCTTCAAGACGCTGAATCGTGCGTGGGCATGGTGGTCTGGGGCAGGATATGGGAACCTTTTTCCTCTGCTTCTGAACCATGTGGCTGCCTTCCCTGTTGCCCTACTCCACACCTGCTTCCTTCCATCCTCCTCCCCCCCTCTGACATGGATAATGCAGGCCAGGAAGACGATTAGCTGGCTCTCAGAAGAAGCCTTATGACGTCACAACACATACATGTGTCATCCTGTCTCTTTCCTCCTCTGTCTCTCCCCCTCCTCTTACAGCTTCCAGGCGCGGCTAGTGTCGGACATAAAGAAGAAGCCTCTTAACTACTCCCCTCCCCGCTCCTACACGCACGGACCCGCCTCCCTCTCCTCCTCCCCAGCTGCACGAACAACCAGCAGAGCCACTGTAAACGGCCCTGCGGTTACCAGACAGAGCAGCACAGGCAAGGCATTCTCAACGCAGGCGTCAGCCAATCACAGCCCTCAGCCTCGCCTGCCATCCCGGCCCTCTTCTTCTGGCTGGGGTGTTTCCGAACCACCAACAGCCATGCGTGCTGAGGCTCGAGGACAGCCTCGGAAGCAGGTTCAGGAGCAGGCAAGGGCGTCATCAACAGCTGCGATTCTGAACATTGTTGACCAGAGAGGAGGAAGTAGGAGTGCAGAGGGGCCAGGGGGTAGTAGTAAGGAGGGGTACAGAGAGCGAGGAGGAGGCAGCGAGAGGCGGATGAACAGTGTCACTGACTGGGAATGGAAGAGCATAGGAGGAGGTGGAGGCGGGGATAGAGGGGGGGATAGGGACAGAGACAGAGACATAGACAGAGACAGAGTCTTCGATAGGGGTGGGGATAGAGGTTATGATAGGGATAGGGATGCAGGCAAAGGCAAGGACGGGGGGCGTGTTGGTGCAGCAGGTAGGAAGAGCAGCTATGAACACCCTGGCAGCAACGACCACACATCAAAGGAGAAAGGTGGTGAGTGAAGGAAAATTGATGTGGGTCCACCTTGTGTTGTCCTGTGTGCCTCGATGTTCCAACTCATTCACTCACTCACTCGCTCTCTCACTCACAAGCACACACTCAGGTAGCTCCAAGGAGAAGCGCGCAAGGAGGCATGCAGCATGGACTGGTGTTGAATAGACTCAAAGGCTACCCATCAGCTACCCCTCCCTTTTGTCACTTCCCTCCCTGCTTCCCTTCTTGTCCTCCAATCAATTCCGTCCACATCAGCAGGTGGCTCCACGAAGAAGCGCAAGGAGGCATGCAGCATGGACTGGGGTGTGTAGGAGATAACTCTCAATCCAGGGGGAAACTGTTCATCCCGACTCTACAACTCGTTACACCACTCCGTTCTTCTCCTCGCTCATGTATAGGCCTCACCATCGTATTTCCACTCCCACCTTGTTGCTAGAGGTGTTCCTCTGAGTGACTTGTTTTGTCGGAAACTTGGTTTTATTGGCCCATTCATTTGTTCGTTTCCCACCCCTGGTATCAGTCATCTCGTGTGGCTGGCAAAGGTTCACGTGAAGAGAAGTATAGGATACTGGGGGCAAACAGGGAGGTTTTATTCACAATGGAACGGGTTACAGGGCACAAGAGCACAAAGGCTAGGTCGGTGTCTCGGTTTCACAGCCCAAGCATCGACTAGAAAAAGGATGCTCCATTCCAGCTCTGGCGTCAGCATCAACAGCGTGTGGTGCCTAGCCACTGCTCAAGTGGTGAAAGGGAGTCATCGGTACCCTGCAGGTTCGTCCATCACATGCCATCTGCCATCTGCCATTGCAGCTTCATCTGCCCCGCTCCAACATTCTCTCTGTTGCCTTCCCTCGCATTACCCCCCATCGCATTCCCTTTCCTCCCACCAGCCTGTCTCTCACTGTCCCCACTACCACACTCGCTCCCTCCTAACACCCCTCAGCTCACCCTTCAGCTGACCCCTCAGCTGACCCCTCTTCCGAGTGATATCTCAGCACCACCATGGACCATCCTTCGCATCTGCTACCCAACACTTTTCCGTTCAGCCGCAACCACTGCTACGCCACTCACTTTCCTCGAATCTCACTGGCAAAACTCAATATCACAAAACCCTCATCACCTCACCAACCTGCCAGTTGATCCCAGTCAATGTCACTGCCCTCCCGCCCCCCCTCGCCTCTCTGGCCCCTCCTGCTGCTGCCCTCCCTACTTCATATTCGCCACCAGCCTCTGGTGCATGCCCACCTGGACTTCCAGGAAGAGAGGCATGTTGGTGGAAATGCGGGCCACCATGGCCGATGCCACAGCTGCAGACACCCGAGTCCGGCCCACCATGGCAAATGTGCCAGCACTGGTGGCAACCCACCCACCGTTAAGCACCGCCATGGGGGAGAGAGAGACGAAGACAGAGCCTGCCATGTTCCCCACCGAGCCTACCATCGAGCCTGCCATGTTCCCCACCGAGCCTACCATCGAGCCTGCCATGTTCCCCACCGAGCCTACCATCGAGCCTGCCATGTTCCCCACCGAGCCTACCATCGAGCCTGCCATGTTCCCCGCTGAGCCTGCCATGTTCCCCACCGAGCCTACGAGGTTGCCCACAGCCCCTCCCACGCCAGAGATGAGGCCGGAGACGGAGCCTCCAAGGCCCGCCGAGGCTCCGAGGTTGGCCTGGACGCCTCCCGAGCCTGCGTTGACCCCAGCGCCGACGCCAGCTGAGGTGTTGAGGAGAGGGGAGGAGGCTCCAAGGGAGGCAGAGCCAGAGAGAGTGCCGTTGGGGAGAGACACGCCCACTCCTGCTCCCACGCCGGCCGATGTGTTGAGGAGACCCGTGGAGGCAGAGACACCGCCTGCTGCTGCGACGGTGCCGTTGGGAAGAGAGACGCCAACGCTGGTCCCAACACCAGCAGAAGTGTTCATGAGGCCGGTGGAAGCAGAGAGATCTCCCTTAGCAGACACGGTGCCGTTGGGGAGAGAGACACCAACACCAGCGCCAACACCAGCGGATGTGTTCATCAGGCCAGTGGAGGCAGAGAGAGAGCCCACACCAGCGACAGTCCCGGTGGGGAGAGAGACGCCCACACCAGCGCCAACACCAGCCGAGGTGTTGAGCAGAGTGGCCGAGGCACCAGCGCCGGCGTTGGCGGTGGTGTTTAGCATATTGGTAGAGAGAGAGGTGCCAAGATTGGTAGAGAGAGACGGGTCGAGGGAGAGCGAGGCGGTGGTGGCAGTGGAAGAGGCAGAGGAGGAGGAGGAGGAGGGGCAGGGGTTGGCTGTGAGGAGCTTGGGCTTGGATGAGGGCCGAGTGGAGGCATGCGTGTTGAGATTGTAGGCGAGGAAGACAGCCATGCCCCTGAGGAGTGGTGAAGGAGAGGGGATCGGGTGAGGAAAGGGGGGAAGAGGTTAGGGGCCAAGAAACGCGGTGGTGTGAGAAATTCAGAATAACGGAGGAAGGAGGATGGCGGAAGGTGGTATTGCGCTGAAGCGCGCATACTGCACTTTAAGCTCGAAGAATCTCGGGAAATCAGAAAGATATCAGGGTCTTTTGAGCGTCAGAGGCATACCTTCTCACGAGTTGCAGCTGGGCTGTTCCCTCCATCTCACCCGTGCCACACAACACAAGAGGTCCGCTGATGGACGCTGGACCAAGGGCATGGGAGGGAGGAATTGGGATGTTAGATTTGGGATTGGGATTGGGAGCCGAACAAATGGTCTTGAAGACAGTCGAGAGGAAAAACGCACAGGAGTGTATTTCATTTGGCAAGGAAGGGGTATCAGACGGAGCAAGGGGCTACCACTTACCCAGAACTTGAGCTCTCATCCCCAGCCTGAGAGCAGAAGCAGGTGGAGTGACCAGTGCTGCACGGAGGCACAACAACAGAAAACACAGGCTTGGTTTGCAACAACAACGAACAGTGTTCGTTAGGAACTGAAAAACGCCTTCAGAAACATGTGATAGACGTTGAGCCAGCTGGAGCGAGAGGCCTCGTACCTGACAGGAGGAGGGTCAGAACCACAGCAGCCTGAACGCGAGTGGAGGGCGCAGCCATGGTTGAGCGCGAAGCGGGATTACTTTCTTGTGTGAGCGGTTGTCCGAGCAGGTCACGATAGCTTGTTGTGTAGGGTTGGTTCGCTGGTTTGTGCAGAAGAGACTCAGTGATGCTTCTGCGAGTTCGAATGTTGGAATTTATGGGGGTGGCGTTCTGGGATTTCCTGCATCGAGCCGCGACATTGGGTGGCGGTGCGGTCGGCTTGGGCTGGCAGAATGAGGGACACGTGTCGAGGGGATGAGTCGTTGTAGGCCAGACACTTGGGAGTTCGCGAATCTTTGAACTCCTGTTGCGAATGGACGACACAGTTTCTGCAACTTCGCCATTTCGCTGGTCTGAGAAATTCACCAGATTTCTTGGAGCTGTCAACGGGACGGCGCAAGTGACGGAGGGGGGGCTGTAAGATGGCTGTCGGCTCGTCGGCATTCGCCTAGTAACCAACCCTATCTCGCGAAGGGCTGGCGAGAAAATGGCGCGGGGATTGTAACACTCTAGAAACAGGTAGGGAACATATCGGAAGTAGAGAGAATGTTTTCCAAGTGTTCCCCTGGTTCCGTATCTGTTATGAATAATAACCGAGAGTGCGCGGAATAATAATGACGAGTACAAGAAAGATAACCTAGCATTATATAGTGAGTGCTCTAGCTAGGCGACGAACCCGGAGGGCTAGGTTGGGTACAGGCGCGGTCGAAAGGGTCGGAGGCGGCGCTGGCGTGCCTCGGGGTCGCGTCAGAAACGGACCGAGCCTGGTCTTCCGAGAGTTCGGGTGTACGCGTTTGCAGTACAACTCGGTAAGGAATAAAATTCCTTACACAACCCCCCCTCTTAAGGAAGGTGATCAACATCGGAAACGCCTTTTCGGGTCAAATAAGAGTTGAGCACCGATTGTTCCTGAAGCGAGTCGGAAGTGACCCATGTGTCGTCTTCGCTTGTACGGTCAACCCAGCGGACAAGAAAATCCACGTGGCGACCAGTGGACTCGAGGCGGACTCGATGACTCAAAAGCCGGAAAGGCTCAAGGGTCAGTTCTGCCATCGGGCGGACGCTTGGGGCGGTCGCTGGTCGGGCGATAGCAGACGTGCTGGCGACGTAGGGACGAAGGAGGCTGACGTGGAAGGCGTTTTGAATGCGCCATTCGTCCGGAAGTAATACTTTCGCCGTGACAGGTGTCACCATCTTCACAATACGAAAAGGTCCACAGAATCGCGGTCGAAGTTTTGAAGGCAGGGGCAGGAGAAGGTTCTTCGTGTCGAGAAGGACTAGTTGCCCTGCAGCCATGGTGATATCGCGGTGATGAAGGTCTGTATAGCGTCGGGCTGTTGCGTTGGACTTTCGAATGAATTCGATCGCTTTTTGTCAGGCATCCTGCAAACTGGTTACGAACTGCTGGGAACGTGGCACTGGGTTGTCGATGTTGGTAGTCATCGGGGCTGTCGGATCCATGCCGTAGTTTAGAAGAAACGGCGAGTGATTAGTCGTTGCGGATGGGGCATTGTTGTATGAAAATTCCAGCATGGGCAGGAATTCTTCCCACCGGGCAGGGTCCGGGCAGTTGTTGCGTATCAGCTGCTCCATGGTTTGATTGGTTCGCTCTGTCTGTCCGTCGGTTTGAGGATGGTAGGCGGAGGAAAACTGTAGGCGTGTGCCGTACTGGGCCCATGTCTCCTGCCAGAACTTGGACGTGAATTTTGGGTCGCGGTCGCTGATGATCGCTTAAGGTAGGCTGTGCAGACGAAGAACGGTGGAGAAAAGCTTCGCTGTATCTTCGGCTGTGATTGTTGTGCGACAGGGTGCGAAATGTGCCATCTTTGTCAGACGATCGACGACGACCAGGACTGCGTCGTTGCCCGTGGCGGCGGCCGGGAGCCCCGTGACGAAGTCCATCGTCACATTTTGCCACGGTCGCTGGTGTGGCCCTAGCGGTTGCAGCAGTCCAGCTGGCCGCCGTCGGGAAGACTTCATGCGTTGGCAGATCGGTCACGTGGATACGTATCTCTGCACATCAGACGCCGAATCAGGCCAATAATAAAAACGGTGAAGTAACTTCTGGGTTTTGTCAACCCCAAGATGACCGGAGACGTTAGAATCGTGGACTTCTTGAATATGTAATTCGCGGAGGAGTCTGTAGGCGGGAACCCAGATACGGTCAGTACTGGCTTTTAGGAAGTAGGGTCCTTTGACTGTGGTGGCTTGTTGGTGGAGGTTGCGGGTGAAAAAGGGGTATGTGGTATATCCGTGAGTAAATAGGCCAGTAAGCAGCGGGTTGAATTTTGCAACGATGATGGAGGCGAGGTGGGCGGATGGTCTTGTCAGTGCGTCAGCGATGTTATTCGCTCCACGTTTGTACGTGATGGTGCAGTGGAAGTTGCTTTCGAGGAAGTCCAGCCAGCGAATCTGCCGTGGATTTAGATTCGGCTGCGCGCGGAGGTACTGTAGGGATTTATGGTCTGTCCGTACTGTCACGTCGGCTCCCGTCAGGTAGCATCGCCACACCTTGAATGCGTGCACGATGGCGAGCATTTCTTTGTCGTGGACGGGGTAGTTGCGCTCAGCTGCCTGCAACTTCCTAGACTCATACGCGATGGGTTGGAGTCCGTCGCCGAAATCTTGTAACAGTATCGCACCGATGGCGAAATCGCTAGCGTCTGTCAAGACTTCGAACGGTCGAGATGGGTCGGCGATTCGGAGGACCGGGGGCGACGTCAGAAAATTTCGCAGTTCATCGAAAGCCGTCTGCTGTCTCTTCCCCCACTCAAACAAAGTGCCCTTCCGTAGCAGGTCAGTTAATGGTCCGGTTATCCCTGCCATATTGGGGATAAACCTCCGGACATAATTAACGAACCCGAGAAAACTCTACAGCTCCTGTAAATTCGTCGGCGGCTTCCAGTCGCAAATTGTTGTGATTTTTTTCGGGTCGATTTTTATGCCGTCCACTCGCACGACATGTCCCAAAAATTCCAGTTCGGGTTTTAGGAACTCGCACTTAGAACCCTTCGTGATGAGCCGGTGTTCTTGCAGCCGCTGGAAAACTTGCTCAAGGTCCTTGAGGTGCTGTTCCTGTGTCTTGCTGTGGATCAGAATGTCATCAAGATAGACGATGACACACTTGTCGAGCAGATCGCGGAATACGCCGTTCATGGTGAGTTGGAAAGTGGAGGGCGCGTTCGTAAGGCCAAACGGCATCAGTGTGTACTCGTAGCTGCCATAGCGGGTTCGGAACGCCGTCTTGTGGTAGTCGTCAGCGAAGACTCGGATCTGATGGTAACCGTCGCGTAAGTCGATTTTCGAGAAGAAGCGAGCTCCGCGAAGTTGATCGAGGAGATCGTCCGCGCATGGGATTGGGTAGTGGGACTTGATCGTTCGCCGATTCAGTGCCATGTAGTCGATGCACATTCGCAGCCCGCCGTTTTTTTTTGGCGTGAACAGGATGGGTGCTGCGAAAGGGGAAGTGCTGGGTCGAATGAACCCCTTCTCCAAGAGGTATTCCAGTTGGCTTCGCAACTCCGTGAGCTCGGGCTGAGTCAGCCGCCACTGGGTCCTGACTGTAGGCTGCGCGCCTGGTTCCAAGTCAATTTTGTGGTCCTGGGGGCGCTCGGGTGGCAGTCCTGCTGGCAGATCGTCCGGAAAAATATCCGGGTACTGTCAAATCAGCGCGGCGAACTCGGCAGGGACACTGGCACAAAGTGTGTCAATGTCCTTTGGCATGTCGTCGACCGTCGCTTCGGCCAGGTGGACGGCGTACAGATCAGCTCCTTTTTTAACTGCTCATTGGAGGGTGATGGCGTTGACACGTGTCGACACCAGATCTCTCCCACGCCAGCTTGGAAGTACGCGCCACCCGTTCGCACAGTGTATGCTGCATTCGCCAGTTGTCCAGTCGATCCTCGGATTGTATTTTCGCAGCCAATCACGCCCAAGCAGAATGTCGCAGCCGTCCAGCGTCGTGGCCAGAATGGGCATGCTGAATCCGAAGTCGTCGCCACACTTCATCCGCACCATGCGCGCTCGTTCTCGAATTGCAAGTGGAGTTCCGTCCACCAGTCGCGCGTCTATTTCGGGAAGACATTTTTCCAATGTCAGCTTCAAGTGCTTCGCTGTTGTCACGTGTATGAGACCGTGACTAGCCCCGCCATCCACAAATAACTTTATTTTTTTGCCGTTAACCTTGCCTTCTACCAACACAGGGTGATCTTCAGGTTCGCTCACGTTATTCGTCCGAGTGCGGTCGATAGCGTGTATTGGTACCACAACTTGGTGGGAACGTTGAAGTTCGGACGACAAAGCCTCGTCAGTAAGGGGCCCGTCTGCTACTGACTTTTCCCATTTCCCGGCTTCTCCTTGTCGTTCTTCGTCTTCTTGGGCCCCGTCGGGCAGTACTTAGCTCGGTGACCTGGCTTGTCACATCGATAACATAGCCCGTGAAATGTTTCATCGGGCGCTGACACGCCATTGATTGTGGGGCGGGGAGACTGTCCACGAAAACGACCAACATCCCTGTTGTTCTTTCTCGCCCACTGCTGCAGTGCATCGGCTGCTGACGCCAACTGGACAGCTTCATCGAACGTCTTGGGACGGGACCGCTGCAACTCGTATTAAATATCAAAATGCAACTCGCTAACGTATTTGTCCCTCCTTTCCGCTTCGCTGAGGTCGTCGACTTGGTCCGCAAGTGCCGAGAACGACGCAGTATAATCTTGAACAGTAGTCACCTGCCGCCAGTTGCGCAGCTTCATGCGAGCGTCGTACCGAATATTGAGGCGGATGAATGCTCAAAACGAGCTCGCAGAGCTGTGCCCCACTGTTTCCACGTGCGAATCGTGGTCGTACCGAATATTGTTTCTGCCTGTTGGTTTGAAGAGTCCGAAGTCCCGTCCTTCGCCTGCTTCACTCCTGCCGGAGTCCCAAGCGCCAACTGTCGTCGCCACCAATCCAACGCCGGTCCTCGGAGCAGTGACACGGCATAATTAATGCGCGCATAATTGGTGTGCACACTTGCCGCCGTGAAGAACAGCTCCATGCTGAACAGCCACCCTTGCACCGTCGTCGCCTTGTCCGAAGGGTTGAACGGGGGCGGTGTTGCTGGCTTGAGTTTAATCTTCGTTACGGTCACAGTGCGCACGTCGTCCTGCTCCAACTCCTGTGCGAGCTCGTCAAGGACGGTTTCGCTCGCTGCGTCGTCGGCACATTGCTTGACCTCGTCGTCGGCGACTCCAGGCGACTCCTGACGCGCTTCACCACGCGTCTGGCGAAGCTTGGTGTTCTCCGTCCGAAGTCTCACGACTTCACTGTTCAAACTCGCCATCTGGGCTTACATTGCCTGCATCTGAGCCATGACCTTGTCTAGCTGGGCCTAGGACATGATGCGAATGCTACGCCTTTCGGGCAGGGGGAAGGCCGTGGTAAGAAACCATTGGGGGCGCAAACGCTATCGTAGTTGTGTGAGCTAATAACTCTAGCTCACGGACAACCGCTTTGCAGCCCCGCAGGGTTAACCATGCCTTGGAAATAAACTACCCTGAGAAAGCAGGGTGAACCAGGAAAGTAGCTCTGATACCAGATGTTATGAATAATAACTGAGAGTGCGCGGAATAATAATGACGAGTACAAGAAAAATAGCCTAGTATTATATAGCGAGTGCTCTAGCTAGGCGACGAACCAGGAGGGCTAGGTTGGGTACAGGCGCGGTCTAAAGGGTCGGAGGCGGCGCGGGCGTGCCTCGGGGTCGCGTCAGAAACGGACCGAGCCTAGTCTTCCGAAAGTTCGGGTGTACGCGCTTGCAGTACAACCCGGTAAGGAATAAAATTCCTTGCAGTATCTACAAACGCGTATTCTGAAGTGTTTCCCCCTCAATTTTACTTGCCTTCAAAGCAATCTGTTTTCAGGCGGCTATCCCTATCTCCACATCTGCTCCCAACTTTTGCTGCCAATCTGCCATGCTTTCCGCCTGACCATAAAGCGCAATCTGCGAAGTGATCCGTGAGGTCCCCTCATGCATCGATCCTTCTCCTGGAGTAGAATAGCGGGTGCTGCTAACACACGTATGGTCGAGCCGTTCTTTCAGGTACCTGGAATCGTCCGTACGAAATGCGTGCTCGCCGTGCGAAGCGGCGATGCATTCGGAGGAATGAAGGGAGCGAATGTATGGCGAGCAGGAAAGCGATTCACCGCTGTCCGTAGCAGCGTGAGCAACGGCGCGGAAAGCGGCGCCTGCAATACCAGCAATGCTGCTTCTGAACCCCTGTCGCAGCTTCCCGATTGCGTCCAGAGCCACAATTGCCGCCACGTGTCGAGCACCTGCTGGTCGAACGAGAAGGGGGTGTCGTGGACGTCGTGGCTGATTCACTGAACCTTCCGCTGGAGTGAGTAAAGAAGAAACTCTCAGAAACTTAGGAGTCTAGGTTCCTAAAGTTAGGACACTAGCTTAGCTAGGAATGACGCCATGGAATGGTGGGAGGAAAGTAGATCAAGGAACGTGAGTAGTGAGGAGAAGTGTCGAGAAGAAAGGTAGATTGAAAAGAAGACAGAGGCATACAAGAAGGGGTGTTGTACCCTCTACAGCAATATTCAGTAATAGTATACCAAGCCTATAAATTATAACTTAAATAATATTAACACACCCCCTAGGCTTGGTAGTGTCAAGCCCACACATACCCACACCACACACACACACACCCCCTAGCCTAGCACCCCACTACCCTGCAGCAGCAGCGGCTGTTGACAACCCGGTAGACCTCTCCACGGGCGGGGCGGCGACAACAGCTACGAGGGTGCGGTGGCGACGACGGCGGCGGCGGCGGCAGTGACGACAGCAGCGGCGGCGGCGGCGTGCGGCGGCAAGTAGGCCAGCGGCAACAGCGGCGGCGGCGGGGGCTTCGACAAAAGCAGCGGCGGCGGCGGCGCTCGCCCCACTCGGCGGCGTGGCCAGGTTCCGCAACGGTGGGACGGCCGGTGCAAGGCAGCCATCGGCTGCGGCGAGTAAGAGGGGATGCAGGGGACGGTGGCAGGGCTGCAGCAGCACAGGTGTGGCGCGACAAAGTGCGTATGTGCTGGCCAGCGCTAAGACCGAGCGCTGGCCGCATGTCGCCACAGCAGCACGACTAGACGGTCGCGGCGGTATGACACGACCGGGACAACGTCAGCGCGACGCCACGGTTGCGTGTCGAGACGGCCGCGGCAGGACGGCGCAGCCGGCGACAAGAAGACGCCGCCACAGCGTGACGCCGCCGCGGCCGCCATGGCAGCGTGAGGAATAGGAGAGGAAAGCGCGGCGGAACCGTGAGGAGCAGGCCCGCTAGGAGCGGACGGCTCTGATACCATCTCAGAAACTTAGGAGTCTAGGTTCCTAAAGTTAGGACACTAGCTTAGCTAGGAATGACGCCATGGAATGGTGGGAGGAAAGTAGATTGAGGAACGTGAGTAGTGAGGAGAAATGTTGAGAAGAAAGGTAGATTGAAAAGAAGACAGAGGCATACAAGAAGGGGTGTTGTATTCAGTAATATAGTATACCAAGCCTAAAAATTATAACTTCAATAATTTTAACAGAAACAGCATCTTAGAAAGGGGGTGGTCACATTTAGCATGATTAACATTGAGCATGGTCATCATTGAGCATGGTCATCATTTATGGTCATCATCAGAAGGGTCATAGTCAGACCGAGCAAATAAACATTGCATTCTAACTTGAAGACATCCCTATCTCTTTGCGCTTTGCCTCTAACCCATCTTTCTAGATACGTCACATATTTGATTCGATTCGGAGGCATCTACCACTCCCAGATACCACCTCCCCCGCCTCCGAACCTCCCTCCTGAGGCACTTAAAGCCTACCTCGAGTTTATCTCTCAGCACACCACTATCCCCACCTCCTCCTCCTCCTCTTCCTCCTCGCCCTCCTCAAAGGCACCTTTGGCGGAGCTACAGAAAGTGAGGAGGGTGGAAGTCGAGGGAATGCGGGGGAGAGGCGCGGGGTAGAAGGAGAGGAGGCAAAGGCAGAAGTCCCGCGACAAGGTGGGGAAGAAAGGAAGAGTTGGTTCGAGATATGTGAGGGGAGGGGATGGTAGTGCAAGAGAGTAAGGATGGTCAAGGCGGGGGTGGTCAGCGGCAGCAGCAGCAGCAGCAGTATCAGCAGATGGCAACGAATGGAGGGGTGGTGAATGCCGGGAGCTACCTTCGTGTTCATGTGCATCCGAAGCGATTCCCCATATGAGTGGAACGTGGAATGAGGTTGATGTTGGAAAAGTAATATACAGTATTGAGGCGCCTCAATAATGGACTCCTTGGCGTTCACGTGCATCCAAAGCGATTCCCCACTGCTGATAAGACCACAGCTGTGGCCATGTGGGACCATAAGGTGTCTTCAGCAGGTTGAGCTGAGACGTCCTATAGAATGGAATGACCTTTGAGTCGACTCAAAAGAGGAGGTGAGGTTGATGCTGGAAGCACGGCGAGCTGATCAGACGACAGCTGTGGCCATGTGGGACCATAAGGTGTCTTCAGCTGGATGAGCTGAGACTTCCTATCGAATTCAGCCCACAGTTGTGGTCCTATGTTGTCGGAAGTACTGTGAGCCTGTGGAAACTGCCTCTTGCAAGCGATATCTGCTCCTATTTCCAGCATATGTGCCTTATTGTAACATACCAATATAGTGTATATTCTCCTGGATTGCGTGCATGCAGGTGCTACAGCTTTGACTGGCAAGACGCTATAATTGTTAACAAGGATGATTATGTGGTATTAGATAAACCATACAACGTCCCTGTAAGTGTCTCCCTTTGCCCTCTCATAGCTCGCACGGGCCGCTGTGTTCATCACTTCTGTCCCTCTGGCCAATCAAACGGTTCCGCATCCTCTGGCCAACCAAACGGATCCGCATCCTCTCCTCTGGCCAGCCAACCAAACGGATCCGCATCCTCTCCTCTGGCCAGCCAACCAAACGGATCCGCATCATGTGGCCAACCTAACGGATCCGCATCCTCTGACCAATCAAGTTCCGGCCTCCTTGTTCCTTCTCTTGTCCTCAGGTGGGTGGCACGGTGGACAATTAGTTGGAGTGTTGCGCCTTCTTCGGGGGGCAAGCGGTGGAGCTGGGCAGACAGCTGCAGCTGACGCATCAACTGGACATGTGCACACAGGGCTGGTGAGTGCACGTGGTACCGGGCTTTTAATGGTGGTGAGCGGAGGTGCGCACCATGTGCATGTGGTACAGGGCTCATAGGGTGGTGAGCGTATGTGCACAGCACAGCATGTGCATGTGGTACAGGGCTCATAGGGTGGTGAGCGTATGTGCAGTGCACAGCACACCATGTGCATGTGGTACAGGGCTCATAGGGTGGTGAGCGTATGGGCAGGGCACAGCACACCATGTGCAGATGCGTGGGTCCAGGGCGAACGAGGGCAGGCAATGGGGCTGAGCAAGCAGCTGCAGCTGAGGCATCAACTGAGAGTGCTGTTGAGGCGCCTCGAAAGCAGCTGCAGCTGGCGCATCAACTGGACATGTGCACGCAGCAATGGTGAGTGAGTGTGGCTCAAGTCAGGGTTTTTGGCTTTAAGGTGGTGACCACAGGTCCCTCTTCTGTCTTGTTGCTCGAGGTGTTGCTCTTAGTGAGTTGTTTTTACGGGAAATTGGTTTTATTATTGGCCCATTCATTTGTTCGTTTTCCTCCCTTGGCATCAGCCATCTTGTGTGACCGCCAAAGGTTCACGTGAAGCGAAGTATACGATATTGGGGGCAAACAGGGAGGTTTTATTCACAATGGAACGGGGTACAGGGCACAAGAGCACTCGGTTTCACAGCCCAAGCATCGACTAGAAAAAGGATGCTCCATTCGAGCTCTGGAGTCAGCATCAACAGCGTGTGGTGCCTAGCCACTGCTTAAGTGGTGAAAGGGAGTTATCGGTGCCCTGCAGCTTTGTCCATCACGTACCATCTGCCATCTGCCATTGCAGCTTCATGTGCCCCGCTCCGGCATTCTCTCTGCTGCCTTCCCTCCCATTACCCCCCATCCCATCGCATTCCCTTTCCTCCCACCAGCCTGTCTCTCACTGTCCCCACTCCCACACTCGCTCTCTCCTACCACCCCTCAGCTCACCCTTCAGCTGACCCCTTCAGCTGACCCCTCTACCGAGTGGTATCTCAGCACCACCATGGACCATTCTTCACGTCTGCGACCCAACACTTTTCCGTATAGCCGCAACCACTGCTACACCACTCACTTTCCTCGAATCTCACTTGCAGAGCTCAATATCACAAAACCCTCGTCACCTCACCAACCTGCCAGTTGATCCCAGTCAACCTGCCAACCTCCCCTCGCCTCTCTGGCCCCTCCTGCTGCTGCCCTCCCTACTCCATCTTCGCCACAAGTCTCTGCTGCGTGCCCACCTGTACTTGCAGGAAGAGAGGCATGTTGGTGGAAATGCGGGCCACCATGGCCGATGCCACAGCTGCAGACACCCGAGTCTGGCCCACCAGGGCATATGCGCCAGCGCTGGTGGCAACCCACCCACCGTTAAGCACCGCAATGGGGGAGAGAGAGACGAAGACAGAGGCTCCCATGTTGCCCACCGAGCCTACCACCGAGCCTGCCATGTTCCCCACCGAGCCTACGAGGTTGCCCACAGCCCCGCCCACGCCAGAAATGAGGCCGGAGACCGAGCCTCCAAGGCCCGCCGATGCTCCGAGGTTGGCCTGGACGCCTCCCGACCCTGCGTTGACCCCAGCGCCGACACCAGCTGAGGTGTTGAGGAGAGGGGAGGAGGCTCCGAGGGAGGCAGAGCCAGAGAGAGTGCCGTTGGGGAGAGACACGCCCACCCCTGCTCCAACGCCGGCAGATGTGTTGAGGAGACCAGTGGATGCAGAGACACCGCCTGTTGCTGCAACGGTGCCATTAGGGAGGGAGGCTCCAACAGTGGCGCCAACACCAGCCGAGGTGTTGAGGAGACCGGTAGAGGCAGAGACGCCACCTGTTGCTGCAACGGTGCCGTTGGGAAGAGAGACGCCAACGCTGGTCCTAACACCAGCAGAGGTGTTCATGAGGCCGGTAGAAGCAGAGATATCTCCCCCTGCAGACACAGTGCCGTTTGGGAGAGAGACACCAACGCCAGCGCCAACACCAGCAGATGTGTTCATCAGGCCAGTGGAGGCAGAGAGAGAGCCCACACCAGCGACAGTCCCGGTTGGGAGAGAGACGCCCACACCAGCGCCAACACCGGCAGAGGTGTTCATGAGTCCGGTAGAAGCAGACACCCCGCCTGTTGCTGCAGCAGTGCCGTTGGCAAGAGAGGTGCCCAGGCCAGCACCGACAGTGGCCGAGGTGTTGAGCAGAGTGGCCGAGGCACCAGCGCCGGCGTTGGCGGAGGTGTTGAGGAGATTGGTAGAGAGAGAGGTGCCGAGATTGGCAGAGAGAGACGGGTCGAGGGAGAGCGAGGCGGTGGTGGCAGTGGAAGAGGCAGAGGAGGAGGAGGAGGAGGGGCAGGGGTTGGCTGTGAGGAGCTTGGGCTTGGATGAGGGCCGAGTGGAGGCATGGGTGTTGAGCTTGTAGGCGAGGAAGACAGCCATGCCCCTGAGGGGTGGGGAAGGAGAGGGGATTGGGTGAGGAAAGGGGGGAAGAGGTTAGGGGCCAAGAAACGCGGTGGTGTGAGAAATTCAGAATAACGGAGGAAGGAGGATGGCGGAAGGTGGTATTGCGCTGAAGCGCGCATACTGCACTTTAAGCCCGAAGAATCTCGGGAAGTTAGAAAGATATCAGGGTCTTTTGAGTGTGAGAGGCGTACCTTCTCACGAGTTGCAGCTGGGCTGTTCCCTCTGTCTCGCCCGTCCCACACATCACAAGAGGTCCGCTGATGGACGCTGGACCAAGGGCATGGGAGGGAGGAATTGGGATGTTAGATTTGGGATTGGGATTGGGAGCCGAACCAACGGTCTTGAAGACAGGCGAGAGGAATAACGCACTGTATTTCGTTTGGCAAGGAAGGGGTGTCAGACGGAGCAAGGGGCTGCCACTTACCTAGAACTTGAGCTCGCATCCCCAGCCTGAGAGCAGAAGCAGGTGGAGGGACCAGTGCTGCATGGAGTCACAACAACAGAAAACACACAGGCTTATTTTTGCAAAAACAAAGAACAGTGTTCGTTAGGAACTGAAAAACGCCTTCAGAAACATGTGGAGCGAGAGGCCTCGTACCTGACAGGAGGAGGGTCAGAACCACCCCAGCCTGAACGCGAGTGGAGGACGTAGCCATGGTTGAGCGCGAAGCGGGATTACTTTCTTTGTGTGAGCGGTAGTCCAAGCAGGTCAACGATAGCTTTGTTTTGTTGGGTTGGTTGGCTGGATTGCGCAGGAGAGACTCAGTGATGTTTCTGCGAGTTCGAATGGTGGAATTTATGGGGGTGGCGTTCCGGGATTTCGTGCATTGAGCCGCGACATTGGGTGGCGGTGCGGTCGGCTTGGGCTGGCGGAATGAGGGACACGTGTCGAGGGGATGAGTCGTTGTAGGCCAGGCACTTGGGAGTTCGCGAATCTTCGAACTCCCGTTGCGATCAAAGGACACAGTTTCTACAGCTTCGCCATTTCGTTAGTCTGAGAAATTCACCACAGTTCTTCGGGCTCTCGACCGGACGGCGCAAGTGACGGAGGGGGGGCTGTAAGGGCTGTAGGCTCGTCGGCATTCGCGTGGTAACCATTCCTCTCTCGCGAAAGTCTGGCGAGAAAATTGTGGAGGGATTGTAACACTCTAGAACGAGGTAGGGAAAATATCGGAAGTAGAGAGAATGTTTTCCTAAGTGTTCTGGTTCTGTATCTACAAACGCGTATCCTGAAGTGTTTGCCCCTCGATTTTATTTGCCTTCAAAGCAATCTGTCTTCAGGCCTTCCATGTCGAACTCTGCATCTGCTCCCCGCTTCTGCTGCCAATCTGCCGTGCTTTCGCCTGACCATAAAGCGCAATCTGCGAAGTGATCCGTGAGGTCCCCTCATGCATCGATCCTTATCCTGGAGTAGAATAGCGGGTACTGCTAACACGCGTATGGTCGAGCCGTTCTTTCAGGTACCTGGAATCGTCCATCCGAAATGCGTGCTCGCCGCGCGAAGCGGCATGCATTCGGAGGAATGAATGGAGCGAATGTATGGCGAGCGGGAAAGCGAGTCACCGCCTTCCGTAGCAGCGTGAGCAACGGCGCGGAAAGCGGCGCCTGCAATACCAGCAATGCTGCTTCTGAACCCCTGTCGCAGCTTCCCGATTGGTCAGAAAATCCCTACACCCGTCTTCAGCTGCGTCCAGAGCCACAATTGCCGCCACGTGTCGAGCACCTGCTGGTCGAACGAGAAGGGAGTGTCGTGGACGTCGTGGCTGATTCGCTGAACCTTCCGCTGGAGTGAGTAAAGAAGAGACAGCATCTTAGATAGGGGGTGGTCACATTTAGCATGATTAACATTGAGAATGGTCATCATTTATGGTCATCATCAGAAGGGTCATAGTCAGACCGAGCAAATAAACATTGCATTCTAACTTGAAGACATCCCTATCTCTTTGCGCTTTGCCTCTAACCCATCTTTCCAGATACGTCACAGATTTGATTCGATTCGGAGGCATCTACCACTCCCAGATACCACCTCCCCCGCCTCCGAACCTCCCTCCGGAGGCACTTAAAGCCTACCTCGAGTTTATCTCTCAGCACACCACTATCCCCACCTCCTCCTCCTCCTCCTCCTCCTCCTCCTCCTCCTCCTCCTCCTCCTCCTCCTCCTCCTCCTCCTCCTCCTCCTCCTCCTCCTCCTCCTCCTCCTCCTCCTCCTCCTCCTCCTCCTCCTCCTCCTCCTCCTCCTCTTCCTCCTCGCCCTCCTCAAAGGCACCTTTGGCGGAGCTTCAGAAAGTGAGGAGGGTGAAATTTGAGGGAATGCGGGGGAGAGGCACGGGGGAGAAGGAGAGGAGGCAAAGGCAGAAGTCCCGCGACAAGGTGGGGAAGAAAGGAAGAGTTGGTTCGAGATATGTGAGGGGAGGGGATGGTAGCGCAAGGGGTGGTAAGGATGGTCGAGGCGGGGGTGGTCAGCAGCAGCAGCAGCAGCAGCATCAGTAGGTGGCAACGAACGGAGGGGTGGTGAATGCCGGGAGCTACCTTCGCGTTCATGTGCATCCGAAGCGATTCCCCATGTGAGTGGAACGTGGAATGAGGTTGATGTTGGAAAAATAATATACAGTATTGAGGCGCCTCAATAATGGACTCCTTGGCGTTCACGTGCATCCAAAGCGATTCCCCACTACTGATAAGACCACAGCTGTGGCCATGTGGGACCATAAGGTGTCTTCAGCAGGTTGAGCTGAGACGTCCTATAGAATGGAATGACCTTTGAGTCGACTCAAAAGAGGAGGTGAGGTTGATGCTGGAAGCACGGCGAGCTGATCAGACGACAGCTGTGGCCATGTGGGACCATAAGGTGTCTTCAGCTGGATGAGCTGAGACTTCCTATCGAATTCAGCCCACAGTTGTGGTTCTATGTCGTCGGAAGTACTGTGAGCCTGTGGAAGCTGCCTCTTGCAAGCGATATCTGCTCCTATTTTGACCATATGTGCCATATTGTAACATACCAATGTACTGTGTATTCTCCTGGATTGCGTGCATGCAGGTGCTACAGCTTTGACTGGCAAGACGCTATAATTGTTAACAAGGATGATTATGTGGTGTTAGATAAACCATACAACGTCCCTGTAAGTGTCTCCCTTTGCCCTCTCGTATCTCTCACGGGCCCTAAGTGTTTTCATCCCTTCTGTGCCCCCTCTGACCAATCAAACGGATCCACATCCTCTGACCAATCAAACGGATCCACATCCTCTGACCAATCAAACGGAGAGGGCTCAGCACAGCATGTGCATGTGGTACAGGGCTCATAGGGTGGTGAGCGTATGTGCACAGCTCACCATGTGCATGTGGTGCAGGGCTCATAGGGTGGTGAGCGTATGGGCACAGCACACCATGTGCATGTGGTACAGGGCTCATAGGGTGGTGAGCGTATGGGCACAGCACACCATGTGCATGTGGTACAGGGCTCATAGGGTGGTGAGCGTATGGGCACAGCATGCCATGTGCAGATGCGTGGGTCCACGGTGAACGAGAGCAGGCAGTGGGGCTGAGCAAGCAGCTGCAGCTGAGGCATCAACTGAGAATGCTGTTGAGGCGCCTCAAAAGCAGCTGCAGCGGGACATGTGCACGCAGCAGTGGTGAGTGAGTGTGGCTCAATTCAGGGTTTTTGGCTTAAGGTCGTGAGTCGTAACCACAGGCACATTTGGCGTGTCCACTCTCAAACGCCATCTTGCCACTCACCGTTCTCATGATTCCCTCTCTCATCATTCCCTCTCTCATCATTCTCTCTCTCATCATTCCCTCCCCCATCATCCTTCTCTTTCCCTTCCCCCCCCCTATCGCCGCCCCAAGTGTGGTGATGGCGAAGAATCGCCAGTTCGCCAGCAAGTTCAACCAGCTGCTGCAGGTCTGTAGGATTCGCTGGCACCCCGTGCTCAATGTGTACCTCTCCTGCAATCTCATCTCCTCTGTGCTCGTCCTTTACATTCCGTGACTGCCCTCTCCTTGCAATTAAGGCCTCCCCGTTTGTCTCTCATATTCATCGCACGATGTCACCAGTCGTTGTACACACCTTAACTACTCCCCTCCCCGCTCCTACACGCACGGACCCGCCTCCCTCTCCTCCTCCCCAGCTGCACGAACAACCAGCAGAGCCACTGTAAACGACCCTGCGGTTACCAGACAGAGCAGCACAGGCAAGGCATTCTCAACGCAGGCGTCAGCCAATCACAGCCCTCAGCCTCGCCTGCTGTCCCGTCCCTCTTCTTCTGGCTGGGGTGTTTCCGAACCAACAAGAGCCATGCGTACCGAGGCTCGAGGACAGGTTCAGGAGCAGGCTAGGGGGTCATCAACAGCGGCGATTTTGAACATTGTTGACCAGAGGGCGGGAGGTGGGGGTGGGGAGGGTACAGGGGGGAGTAGTATGGAGGGATACAGAGAGAGAGGAGGAGGTGGAAAGAGGCGGATGAACAGTGACAGTGACAGAGACTGGGAATGGGAGAGCGAAGGAGGAGGTGGAGACAGGGATGGCGTCGGGGACAAAGGCCGGGGTAGGGACAGACAGAGAGACAGAGACAGAGACAGAGACAGAGACAGAGACAGAGACAGAGACAGAGACAGAGACAGAGACAGAGACAGAGACCGAGACAAAGACAGAGACCGAGAGAGAGACCGAGAGAGAGACCGAGAGAGAGATGGAGTCTACAGTAGGAGTGGGGATGAAGGTTATGGCAGGGACAGGGATAGAGGCAGCTGCAAGGGCGGGGGGCACGTTGATGCAGCTGGTAGTGGGAGCAGCTATGGACAATTCGGCAGCAAGGGGCGTGCAGCAAAGGAGAAAGGAGGTGAGTGAAGGAAAGAGGAGGAGGGTACCCCTTGTGTTGTGCTTGTGTTTAAAAGGGTGCTCACTCACTCACTCACTCACTCTCTCACTCACAAGCAAGGAGCGCGCGATGAAGGCGGCTCTGTTTGACTCGTCCATCTCCTCCCGTGCCCAAAGTTTGAATCGTCTCGTCTCGACCACCCCTCTCTTTCTTCCGTTGCTTGCTCTCTCCTTGTCCTCCAATCAATGCCGTCCACATCAGCAGGTGGCTCCAAGGAGAAGCGCAAGGAGGTTTAAAGCATGGACTGGGGCATGTAGTTGTTGGACCCAACTCTACCTCTCATTACCGTACACCATTTCTACCGACTTGTACCGTACGCTGCGCCCGCATGCATAGGCTTCACCATCGCCTATCATCTTCCTTCTTGTTGCTAGAAGTGTTACTCTTAGTGCCTTGTTTTGTTCTCAGGACCCTGGCCTCATCGGCCCATTCATTTGTTCGTTTCTCACCTTTGGTATCCGCCAGCTTGTGTGGCTCGCAAAGGTTCACGTGAAGCAAAGTATAGGATAGAGGGGGCAACCAGAGGGGCTTTATTCACAATGGGACGGGTTACGGGGCACAAGAGTATAAAGGCTGGGTGACTCGGTTTCACAGCCCAAGCATTGGCTAGAAAAAGGATGCCAGCACTGGAGTCAGTCAGCATCAACAGTATGAGGTGCCTAGCCACTGCTCAAGTGGTGAAAGGGAGTCATCAGTACCCTGCAGCTTCGTCCATTGCTTGCCATCCACCATCCACCATCCACCATCCACCATCCACCATCCGCCATCCACCATCCGCCATCTGTCACCCGCCATCTGTCACCCGCCATCCGTCACCCGCCATCCATCACCCGCCATCCGCCATCCGCCATCCGCCATCTGCCGGAGTCAGGTGTGCCCCACTCCAACATGCCCACAGGTTGCCGTCCCTCGCATTACCCCCCATCACATTCCCTTTCCTCCCATCAGGCTGTCTCTCACTAGCCCCACTACCACACTCGCTCGCTCCTGACACACCTCCAGCTCACCCTTTAGCTGACCCATCCACTGATGTCTCACCACCACCATGGACCATTCTGCTCATCTGCTACCCAACAATTTCCCGTACAGCCGCAACCACCGCCACCCCACTTTCTTCCTCGAATCTAACAGGCAGAACAAATTTTCATAAAAACCCTCATCACCTCACCAATCTGCCAGTTGATCCCAGTCAATATCACTGCCCTCCCGCCCGCCCTTGCCTCTCTGGCCCCTCCTGCTGCTGCCCTCCCTACTGCATCTTAGCCACAAGGCTCTGCTGAGCCCCAACGTGCACTTGCAGGAAGAGAGGCATGTTGGTCGACACACGGGCCACCATTGCCGATGCCACAGCTGCCGACACCCGAGTCTGGCCCGCCATGGCGTATGCGCCAGCGCTGGTGGCAACCCACCCACCGTTCAGCACTGCAATGGGGGAGAGAGAGATGAAGACAGAGGCTCCCATGTTGCCCACCGAGCCTACCACCGAGCCTGCCACGTTCCCCACCGAGCCTACGAGGTTCCCGACAGCTCCGCCCACGCCAGAGATGAGGCCGGACACCGAGCCTCCGAGGTCCGCCGAGGCTCCGAGGTTGGCCTGGACGCCTCCCGAGCCTGCGTTGACCCCAGCGCCGACGCCAGCTGAGGTGTTGAGGACAGGGGAGGAGGCTCCAAGGGAGGCAGAGCCCGAGAGAGTGCCGTTGGGGAGAGACACGCCCACTCCTGCTCCCACGCCGGCAGATGTGTTGAGGAGACCTGTGGAGGCTGAGACACCACCAGTTGCTGCGACGGTGCCGTTGGGGAGAGAGACGCCGACGCTGGTCCCAACACCAGCAGATGTGCTCATGAGGCCGGTAGAGGCGGAGAGATCACCCCCTGCAGACACAACGCCGTTGGGCAGAGAGACGCCAGCGCCAGCGCCAACACCAGCAGATGTGTTGAGAATCCCGGTGGAAGCAGAGAGAGAGCCCGTGCCAGCAACAGTCCCAGTGGGGAGAGAGACGCCCACACCAGCGCCAACAGCAGCAGAGGTGTTCATGAGTCCGGTGGAAGCAGACACCCCGCCTGCTGCTGCAGCAGTGCCGTTAGCCAGGGAAGTGTTAAGGCCAGCACCGACAGTGGCCGAGGTGTTGAGGAGAGTGGCCGAGGCAGCAGCGCCAGCGTTGGCGGTGGTGTTGAGGAGATTGGTAGAGAGAGAGGTGCCGAGATTGGCAGAGAGAGACGGGTTGAGGGCGAGAGAGGCGGCGGTGGCAGTGGAAGAGGAGGAGGAGGAGGAGGAGGGAGGAGGAGGAGGAGGGGCAGGGGTTGGCAGTGAGGAGCCTGGGCTTGGATGAGGGCCGGGTGGAGGCATGGGTGTTGAGCTTGTAGGTGACGAAGAGAGCCATGCCCCTGAGGGGTGGGGAAGGGGGGGGGTTTGGGGAGAGGACGAGGGGGATGAGGGGGGATGATGAGGTTGGGGGTAATGAATTAGGGTGGTGAGAGAATTGCAGGTGGATGGCAGATGTTAAAGGAGCACGGAGAGCGTCTGTGTACGTCCCAAAATACCAGGATCAGAAATACGGAGTAGGTAAACAGTAGGCACAGCATAGGTACGTCTGCTACGGAGTAGTCTTGCTATACGAACAACTATACCTACAATATAGGAGAGATCCACATTTTTGTGACGTACTTGAAGAAATACTTTGCACTCGTGAGGTTCGTTTGAGAGTCAAGGGGCACACCTTCTCACGAGCTGCAGCTGGGCTGTTCCCTCCGTCTCGCCTGTGCCACACATCACAAGAGGGCCGTTGACAGACGCTGCAGCAAAGAGGAGGGGGACAGGGGAAGGTAAGATGTGAGTCATCAGTTGAAGCCGAATCAACTATCGTTTGACAAAAGGAACTTCCCCAGAAGTGTATCATTTTGGCAAGAAACGGGCGTGGGGCAGAGCAAGCGGCTGCGACTTACCCAGAACCTGAGCTCGCATCCCCAGCCTGACAGCAGCAGCAGGTGGAGTGATCAGCGCTGCGCGGAGGTAACAACGGGAGAAAGCAGAGAGAGCAAACACAGGATCAGATTTGTACGTTAAAGCCCCCATCTCATAATTACCAGAGTTTAAACGAAACTCACGTGGGGTTTGGTACGCGAGGTGTAAACAAAACTACGAAAACGAAACTCACGTGGCGAGGCCGTTTTGTTTCGACAAAAAACTCCAAACCAAGAAACAGGTTTGGGGAAGTTTGGGACGCGTCAGGTTTAGCACATCGGACGGTGCAAACTCCATTTTTTTGCGCAACAACTTTCTACTTCGTTTAGAGCCGTCGATTCAAACGTCCAGTCACTCAACCGTCAGATCAAAGGCTCTCGATGATCTAACGGTGCAGCAGGACCGTTCTTCCGTAAACTTGCGGATTCTCATTTTGCTGAACTGGTTTTACGGTTGGTATCCCCCTATCACAGCACACTTTCTGAGGCATTTCCAAGCCTGTCGCTTCAAATTCGCCAGCGTAACTGGGTACCAAACATTTAACACTTGCTCACTTCCTATAATTATGAGAGTGGGGCTTGAAGGAACTGAAAATCGCTTTTCAGAAGCTCTCCAGTATCAGACGTTGAGTCAGCTGGAGCATGCTTCGGAGGGAAGCCTCGTACCTGACAGGAGGAGAGCCAGCACCACTGCAGCCTGAACGAGAGTGGAGGAAGCAGCCATGGTTGAGCGCGTAGCGGGATTATTTTCCTAGAGTGAGCGGTAGTCCGAGCGGTAGTGGAGGAAATTCCTTACACTACCCCCCCCCCTCCTAAACGAGTCCATGGGCATCGGAGACGGTACGACACCGATAATACGCCGTTAGAATCGGACGTGATTCTAGGTCAACGAGAGACACCCAGCTGTCGTCTTCGGACGTGCGATCGCGCCAGCGGACGAGGAAATCAACCATCCGACGGTTCAGCTGCGTGGTGACGCGATGGCCGAGGATTCAGTGGCTCGGTCGTCAGTTCCTGCAAAGGCGTTAGTTGCAGTACACCGCGGTTGCATGCCAAGTCCGACGAACTCGGGACGTGGGGTCGGAGAAGGCTGACGTGGAAAGCCGGGTGGTGGCGCCAATCAGCCGGTAGTCGAAGGTGAACAGTGACAGGTGTCACTAGGTTGGTCACTTGAAAAGGTCCGCAGAATCTGGGTCGGAGTTTGCTCGGGATCGGCAGCCGCAGATTGCGGGTGTCGAGGAGGACTAGATTTCCCACTTTGTAAGTGACGTTATGGCGATGACGATCGGTTTTTCGGATGGCTTCGGCTGCTTTTTCTCGAGCGGCAAGGATGTCGGTCTGTGGGTGGTAGGCGGATGAAAATTGGAGTTTGGTGCCGAATTGATCCCATAGGTGGCGCCAGAATTTCGATGTGAATTTCGGGTCTCGATCTGAAATGATGGCGGAGGGCAGTCCGTGCAGTCGGATGACGTTCGTGAGGAACAGTTGCGCGGTTTGTTCGGCGGTGATTGTCTGTTGGCAGGCGATGAAGTGTGCCATTTTTGTGAGTCGGTCAACGACCACGAGGATGGCGTCGTTTCCGCCGGGACCGGCCGGTAGTCCTGTTACGTAGTCCATCGTGACTTGTTGCCAGGGTCGCTCGGGCGGATCCAACGGCTGTAGTAGTCCGGCTGCTCGCTGATGCGACGATTTCATAATCTGGCAGGCAGTGCAGGAGGACACGTACTTGCGCACGTCATCGGCCATGTTCGGCCAGTAATAATTCCGCTGCAACATCTTCGTGGTTTTATCAACGCCGAAATGTCCTGAGGTAGGGTTGTCGTGGGATTCCTGGATTAGGAGGGTGTGAAGTAAATCGTAGCCTGGCACCCAAATGCGAGAAGTACCACGCTTATAAAAATATGGCCCGGTGGCTGTGGTATGCTGTTGATGGATGGCTGAGCGGAAAAAGGGATCGATCTTGTAGCCGTGGGTGAATAGTCCCGTAAGTAATGGGTTGGTCTAGGCGATTAGTATCGCGGCGGTATGGACAGTAGGGCGGGTCAAGGCATCGGCGATATTATTGGCACCCCGTTTGTAGGTGATGGTGTAATGGAAGTTGGACTCGAGGAAATCGAGCCATCGGATCTGTCGTGGGTTGAGATTCGGTTGGCGCGCAGGTACTGTAAGGATTTGTGGTCCGTCCGCACCGTGACATCAGCTCCGGTCAGGTAGCACCGCCAGGTCTTGAACGCGTGGACGATCGCCAGCATTTCCTTGTCGTGGACTGTATAGTTTTTCTCCGCGCCCTGCAGCTTCTATGATTCGTAGGCGACTGGTTGTAACCCGTCGCCGAAGTCCTGGAGGAGAACTGCACCGATGGCGATGTCGCTGGCGTCGGTGATGACTTCGTATGGACGGTCGGGATCAGAGATGCGAAGTACAGGCGGCGACGTGAGGGCGATTTTGAGTTGGTCGAATGCAGCTTGCTGCTTCTCTCCCCACCAAAAATAGTCGTGATCCTTCAGTCGGTCAGTCAGAGGAGCAGATAACCCCGCCATATTGGGGATGAAGCGGCGGACGTAGTTGACGAAACCTAGAAAGCTTTGCAGTTCCTTGAGGTTGGTCGTCGGCTTCCAGTCCTGTATAGTCTTGATTTTCTTGGGGTCGATTTTCACTCCTTCGGTAGAGACGACGTGGCCCAAAAACTCCAACTCTTGCTTAAGAAAATCGCACTTAGACCCTTTCGTGATGAGGCGATTCTTGTGCAGCAGCGTAAAGACTGCATCAAGAGTCTTTAAGTGCTGCTCCCTGCTGCGGCTTTAGATTAGGATGTCGTCGAGGTAGATAATTACGCATTTATCCAGGAGTTCGCGGAAAAAACCGTTCATGGTCATCTGAAAAGTCGAGGGCGCGTTCGTGAGGCCAAAAGGCATCACCAAGTATTCGTAACTGCCGTAGCGGGTTCGGAAAGCGGTTTTGTGACAATCGTCGGCGGCGAAGCGAATTTGATGGTAACCTCCTCGCAGGTCGATTTTCGAGAAGAACTTGGCTCCGCGAAGTTGGTCGAGGAGATCGTCGGCTCGCGGGATCGGGTAACGGGACTTGATGGTAATGCGGTTGAGCGCGCGGTAGTCGATGCACATGCGGAATCCTCCATCTTTTTTCGTTGTGAACAGTATCGGGGCGGCGTATGGGGACGTGCTGGGTCGGATAAAACCTTTCGTCAGGAGGTAATCTAACTGCTGCTGCAATTCCTCAAGTTCGGGTTGGCTGAGCCGAAATTGTCGCTGTACTGTCGGTTGTGCGCCTGGTTCCAGCTCGATGCGATGGTCTTCGGGTTGGCTTGGCGGAAGTCCGGCGGGTAGGTCGTCCGGGAAAATCTCGGGGTATTTGCGAATGAGTTCCGCTAAATCCGGAGGAACGGCTTCACACAGCTTGGTGATATCTTCTGCTGTTATCGGCGACGTCACTTCGCGAAGGTCGACGGCGTATGCTGCTGCTCCCACTTTTATCGCTCGCTTGAAGGTGATCGCGTGGACTTGGGTACTTCGCATGCGGGGTCCCGTCCATTTTGGTAACTCGTGATAGTGCCCATCGATCTTGATGCTGCAGCTGCCCGTCGTCCAGTCGATTCTCGGGTTGTACTGTCGCAGCCAATCCCGTCCTAGCAGCACGTCGCACCCGTCGAGTGTAGTCGCCAGCAGCCCCATCCGAAATTTTACGTGCTCGCCGCAGTGGAAACTGACGTGCTCCACCCGCTCCCGTATAGCCAGCGGTGTTCCATCCACCAGTCTTGCGTCAATTTCGGGTAGGCACTTTAATAAGGGGATACCCATTTTCTTAGCCCTGTCTAGCTGTATGAGACTGTGACTCGCGCTTCCATCCACGAATATTTTCAGCAACAACCCGTTGACTTTACCCTCCACCAACACAGGGTGATCAGCAGTTTCGTCCCCCTTATTCGTCCGGGTCCGGTCGATTGCAGCAATCGGGATCACGACCCGGTGGGGACTGTGTGGTTCGGGCGAAGAAGCCTGCCCGTTAGTAAGGGGCCTGGTACTTACTGACGCGACCCATTTCTCGGTCGCTCCTCCGGCTTCTTCCCCATAGAATTTTGGATGGCTATGAACTCTTGGCAGTTGCGTTTGATGTGACCCGGTCGGCCACAATGGTAGCATAGCCCCGTATTTCGCGGAGCAACTGCGTAAATATCCACTGCGTCCATCCCTTTTATCGTGGCGCGCTGGTACTGTTCTCGAGGGTGACCTCCGTCGTAGAAGTTCGTCCTCGACTTCGTGAGCGAGTCAGCGGCTTCGGGGAGTTGGATCGTCGCCGAATTCTTCGGACCACTCATGCTGTCCTTCTGTGCGAGTTGCCGCTGAGTCGACGATGACCTTCCACCACTGTAGGGCGGCCCCTTGCAGCAGTGTCAACGCATGGCTGATCTGCTTCTGGTCGTCTCGGATGCCCGCCGCGTTAAAGTAGATATTCATGGCAAATATCCACTGCCGCACCGTCACGCCTTTATTAGCTGGGTCGAAAGGAGCGGGTTGCTGATATCTCACGCCGCCACTTGTCGAGCGCGGGGCTGTCGCCGCTAGCCGTGCCAGCTCTACTGGTGTCGGTTGCTGCTCACCCGCCTCGCTTCGTGCATCGTCGCCCGGCTCCTCTGAACGCCTTTCCTGCACCTGGCGAAGTCGTTGGTTTTCGTCACGGAGGTTGTTGACGACGCTTGTCAAATTATTCAACTGCTCCATTAATGCTTGCAGGTCTACTGTTTCCCGGGCAGAGTTCGCAGCAGTCGAGGTTGTCTGTTCCTCAACCGTCGAGTCTACCGGGGCCATGGCGGTCAGGACGGGGCAGAAACTAGTGCACACGCTGTAGTTGTTGACGTAAAAATATTTACGATCAAAGGCAACTGCTGTGCAGCCGTGTTAATCCCCTCTGACCACCCTTAACTAACTAACGGGGAAAACGGAAGGTTCCGAGAAAGGTCGGGCTCTGATACCAGCTGTTATGATTTAGAAGATGTCAATGAACTATAACGTGAGAATACAAGGTCGCTATTGCAATGAAAGCCCGAGGTTATATAGGAGTAGACGTAATAGGGCGATAACCTCGGGACGTGGGTAGGTTCGGCAATGTGGCGACGCTGTCGGACGCGACTCGAGAAAGGGTTGGGTAAAAAATGTAGGCCAAACGTGACGAGTCGAAGTGTTCGGGTGTACGCGGTAGCGGGCGACTCAGTAAGGAATGGAAATTCCTTACACCCAGCATCAACTGGCAGTCTGCTGTGCCTTCACCTGACCATAAAACGCAATCCGCTAAGTGATCTGTGAGATTCCCTGATGCATCGATCCTTATCCTGGAGTAGAATAGCGTGTGCTGCTAACACGCGTATGGTCGAGCCGTTCTTTCAGATCCCTGTAATCGTCCGTCCGAAATGCATGCTCGCCGCGCGAAGCGGCGATGCATTCGGAGGAATGAAGGGAGCGAATGTATGGCGAGCGGGAAAGCGAGTCACCGCCGTCCGTAGCAACGTGAGCAACGGCGCGGAAAGCGGCGCCTGCAATACCAGCAATGCTGCTTCTGAACCCCTGTCGCAGCTTCCCGATTGGTCAGAAATTCCGTACACCCGGCTTCAGCTGCGTCCAGAGCCACAATTGCCGCCACGTGTCGAGCACCTGCTGGTCGAACGAGAAGGGAGTGTCGTGGACGTCGTGGCTGATTCGCTGAACCTTCCGCTGGAGTGAGTTAAGAAGAAAGAGCATCTTCGATAGGGGGTGGTCACATTTAGCATGATTGACATTGAGCATGGTCATCATTGAGCATGATCATCATTGAGCATGATCATCATTGAGCATGGTCATCATTGAGCATGATCATCATTGATCATGGTCATCATTGAGCATGATCATAATTGAGCATGATCATCATTGAGCATGATCATCATTGAGCATGGTCATCATTGAGCATGATCATCATTGAGCATGGTCATCATTGAGCATGATCATCATTGAGCATGATCATCATTGAGCATGATCATCATTGAGCATGACCATCATTGAGCATGCTCAGCATGGAGCATGATCAGATGGGTCATAGTCAGACAGAGCAAATAAACATTGCATTAGCAAATGAACATTGCATTAGCAAATGAACATTGCATTAGCAAATAATCATTGCATTAGCAAATAAACATTGCATTAGCAAACAAACATTGCATTAGCAAATAAACATTGCATTAGGAAAAAACCATTGCACTCTTACTCGGAGACATCCCTATCTCTTTGCGCTTTGCCTCTAACCCATCTTTACAGATACGTCACAGATTTGATTCGATTTGGAAGCATCTACCACTCGCATATACCACCTCCCCCGCCTCCGAACCTCCCTCCTGAGGCACTTATAGCCTACCTCGAGTTTACCTCTCAGCACACCACTATCCCCACCTCCTCCTCCTCCTCCTCCTCCTCCTCCTCCTCCTCCTCCTCCTCCTCCTCCTCCTCCTCCTCCTCCTCCTCCTCCTCCTCCTCCTCCTCCTCCTACTCCTCCTCCTCCTCCTCCTCTTCCTCCTCGCCCTCCTCAAAGGCACCTTTGGCGGAGCTACAGAAAGTGAGGAGGGTGAACGTCGAGGGAATGCAGGGGAGAGGCACGGGGGAGAAGGAGAGGAGGCAAAGGCAGAAGTCCCGCGACAAGGTGGGGAAGAAAGGAAGAGTTGGTTCGAGATATGTGAGGGGAGGGAATGGTAGCGCAAGGGGTGGTAAGGATGGTCGAGGCGGGGGTGGTCAGCAGCAGCAGCAGCATCAGCAGGTGGCAACGAACGGAGGGGTGGTGAATGCCGGGAGCTACCTTCGCGTTCATGTGCATCCGAAGCGATTCCCCATGTGAGTGGAACGTCGAATGAGGTTGATGTTGGAAAAATAATATACAGTATTGAGGCGCCTCAATAATGGACTCCTTGGCGTTCATGTGCATCCAAAGGGATTCCCCGCAGCTGATAAGACCGCAGCCGTGGCCATGTGGGAGCATAAGGTGTCTTCAGCAGGTTGAGCTGAGACGTCCTATAGAATGGAATGACCTTTGAGTCGACTCAAACGAGGAGGTGAGGTTGATGCTGGAAGCACAGAGAGCTGATAAGACCACAGCTGTGGCCATGTGGGACCATAAGGTGTCTTCAGCTGGATGAGCTGAGACTTCCTATCGAATTCAGCCCACAGTTGTGGTTCTATGTCGTCGGAAGTACTGTGAGCCTGTGGAAGCTGCCTCTTGCAAGCGGTATCTGCTCCTATTTCGACCATATGTGCCTTATTGTAACATACCAATGTACTGTATATTCTCCTGGATTGCGTGCATGCAGGTGCTACAGCTTTGACTGGCAAGACACTATAATTGTTAACGAGGATGATTATGTGGTGTTAGATAAACCATACAACGTCCCTGTAAGTGTCTCCCTTTGCCCTCTCGTATCTCGCACGGGCCCTAAGTGTTTTCATCCCTTCTGTGCCCCCTCTGACCAATCAAACGGATCCACATCCTCTGACCAATCAAACGGAGAGGGCTCAGCACAGCATGTGCATGTGGTACAGGGCTCATAGGGTGGTGAGCGTATGTGCACACCACACCATGTGCATGTGGTACAGGGCTCATAGGGTGGTGAGCGTATGGGCACAGCACACCATGTGCATGTGGTACAGGGCTCATAGGGTGGTGAGCGTATGGGCACAGCACACCATGTGCATGTGGTACAGGGCTCATAGGGTGGTGAGCGTATGGGCACAGCACACCATGTGCATGTGGTACAGGGCTCATAGGGTGGTGAGCGTATGGGCACAGCACACCATGTGCATGTGGTACAGGGCTCATAGGGTGGTGAGCGTATAGGCACAGCACACCATGTGCATGTGGTGCAGGGCTCATAGGGTGGTGAGCGTATGGGCACAGCACACCATGTGCATGTGGTAAAGGGCTCATAGGGTGGTGAGCGTATGGGCACAGCACACCATGTGCATGTGGTACAGGGCTCATAGGGTGGTGAGCGTATTGGCACAGCACACCATGTGCATGTGGTACAGGGCTCATAGGGTGGTGAGCGTATGGGCACAGCACACCATGTGCATGTGGTACAGGGCTCATAGGGTGGTGAGCGTATGGGCACAGCACACCATGTGCATGTGGTACATGGCTCATAGGGTGGTGAGCGTATGGGCACAGCACACCATGTGTATGTGGTACAGGGCTCATAGGGTGGTGAGCGTATGGGCACAGCACACCATGTGCATGTGGTACAGGGCTCATAGGGTGGTGAGCGTATGGGCACAGCACACCATGTGCATGTGGTACAGGGCTCATAGGGTGGTGAGCGTATGGGCACAGCACACCATGTGCATGTGGTACAGGGCTCATAGGGTGGTGAGCGTATGGGCACAGCACACCATGTGCATGTGGTACAGGGCTCATAGGGTGGTGAGCGTATGGGCACAGCACACCATGTGCATGTGGTACAGGGCTCATAGGGTGGTGAGCGTATGGGCACAGCACACCATGTGCATGTGGTACAGGGCTCATAGGGTGGTGAGCGTATGGGCACAGCACACCATGTGCATGTGGTGCAGGGCTCATAGGGTGGTGAGCGTATGGGCACAGCACACCATGTGCATGTGGTAAAGGGCTCATAGGGTGGTGAGCGTATGGGCACAGCACACCATGTGCATGTGGTACAGGGCTCATAGGGTGGTGAGCGTATGGGCACAGCACACCATGTGCATGTGGTACAGGGCTCATAGGGTGGTGAGCGTATGGGCACAGCACACCATGTGCATGTGGTACAGGGCTCATAGGGTGGTGAGCGTATGGGCACAGCACACCATGTGCATGTGGTACAGGGCTCATAGGGTGGTGAGCGTATGGGCACAGCACACCATGTGCATGTGGTACAGGGCTCATAGGGTGGTGAGCGTATGGGCACAGCACACCATGTGCATGTGGTACAGGGCTCATAGGGTGGTGAGCGTATGTGCACAGCACACCATGTGCATGTGGTACAGGGCTCATAGGGTGGTGAGCGTATGGGCACAGCACGCCATGTGCAGATGCGTGGGTCCACGGTGAACGAGAGCAGGCAGTGGGGCTGAGCAAGCAGCTGCAGCGGGCGCATCAACTGAGAATGCTGTTGAGGCGCCTCAAAAGCAGCTGCAGCGGGCGCATCAAGTGGACATGTGCACGCAGCAGTGGTGAGTGAGTGTGGCTCAAGTCAGGGTTTTTGGCTTAAGGTCGTGAGTCGTAACCACAGGCACATTTGACGTGCCCACTCTCAAACGCCATCTTGCCACTCACCGTTCTCATGATTCCCTCTCTCATCATTCCCTCTCTCATCATTCTCTCTCTCATCATTCCCTCCCCCATCATCCTTCTCTTTCCCTTCCCCCCCCCTATCGCCGCCCCAAGTGTGGTGATGGCGAAGAATCGCCAGTTCGCCAGCAAGTTCAACCAGCTGCTGCAGGTCTGTAGGATTCGCTGGCACCCCGTGCTCAATGTGTACCTCTCCTGCAATCTCATCTCCTCTGTGCTCGTCCTTTACATTCCGTGACTGCCCTCTCCTTGCAATTAAGGCCTCCCCGTTTGTCTCTCATATTCATCGCACGATGTCACCAGTCGTTGTACACACCTTAACTACTCCCCTCCCCGCTCCTACACGCACGGACCTGCCTCCCTCTCCTCCTCCCCAGCTGCACGAACAACCAGCAGAGCCACTGTAAACGACCCTGCGGTTACCAGACAGAGCAGCACAGGCAGGGCATTCTCAACGCAGGCGTCAGCCAATCACAGCCCTCAGCCTCGCCTGCTGTCCCGTCCCTCTTCTTCTGGCTGGGGTGTTTCCGAACCAACAAGAGCCATGCGTACCGAGGCTCGAGGACAGGTTCAGGAGCAGGCTAGGGGGTCATCAACAGCGGCGATTTTGAACATTGTTGACCAGAGGGCGGGAGGTGGGGGTGGGGAGGGTACAGGGGGGAGTAGTATGGAGGGATACAGAGAGAGAGGAGGAGGTGGAAAGAGGCGGATGAACAGTGACAGTGACAGAGACTGGGAATGGGAGAGCGAAGGAGGAGGTGGAGAAAGGGATAGCGTCGGGGACAAAGGCCGGGGTAGGGACAGACAGAGAGACAGAGACAGAGACAGAGACAGAGACAGAGACAGAGACAGAGACAGAGACAGAGACAGAGACCGAGACAAAGACAGAGACCGAGAGAGAGACCGAGAGAGAGACCGAGAGAGAGATGGAGTCTACAGTAGGAGTGGGGATGAAGGTTATGGCAGGGACAGGGATAGAGGCAGCTGCAAGGGCGGGGGGCACGTTGATGCAGCTGGTAGTGGGAGCAGCTATGGACAATTCGGCAGCAAGGGGCGTGCAGCAAAGGAGAAAGGAGGTGAGTGAAGGAAAGAGGAGGAGGGTACCCCTTGTGTTGTGCTTGTGTTTAAAAGGGTGCTCACTCACTCACTCACTCACTCTCTCACTCACAAGCAAGGAGCGCGCGATGAAGGCGGCTCTGTTTGACTCGTCCATCTCCTCCCGTGCCCAAAGTTTGAATCGTCTCGTCTCGACCACCCCTCTCTTTCTTCCGTTGCTTGCTCTCTCCTTGTCCGCCAATCAATGCCGTCCACATCAGCAGGTGGCTCCAAGGAGAAGCGCAAGGAGGTTTAAAGCATGGACTGGGGCATGTAGTTGTTGGACCCAACTCTACCTCTCATTACACCATTTCTACCGACTTGTACCGTACGCTGCGCCCGCATGCATAGGCTTCACCATCGCCTATCATCTTCCTTCTTGTTGCTAGAAGTGTTACTCTTAGTGCCTTGTTTTGTTCTCAGGACCCTGGCCTCATCGGCCCATTCATTTGTTCGTTTCTCACCTTTGGTATCCGCCAGCTTGTGTGGCTCGCAAAGGTTCACGTGAAGCAAAGTATAGGATAGAGGGGGCAACCAGAGGGGCTTTATTCACAATGGGACGGGTTACGGGGCACAAGAGTATAAAGGCTGGGTGACTCGGTTTCACAGCCCAAGCATTGGCTAGAAAAAGGATGCCAGCACTGGAGTCAGTCAGCATCAACAGTATGAGGTGCCTAGCCACTGCTCAAGTGGTGAAAGGGAGTCATCAGTACCCTGCAGCTTCGTCCATTGCTTGCCATCCACCATCCACCATCCACCATCCACCATCCACCATCCGCCATCCACCATCCGCCATCTGTCACCCGCCATCTGTCACCCGCCATCCGTCACCCGCCATCCATCACCCGCCATCCGCCATCCGCCATCTGCCGGAGTCAGGTGTGCCCCACTCCAACATGCCCACAGGTTGCCGTCCCTCGCATTACCCCCCATCACATTCCCTTTCCTCCCATCAGGCTGTCTCTCACTAGCCCCACTACCACACTCGCTCGCTCCTGACACACCTCCAGCTCACCCTTTAGCTGACCCATCCACTGATGTCTCACCACCACCATGGACCATTCTGCTCATCTGCTACCCAACAATTTCCCGTACAGCCGCAACCACCGCCACCCCACTTTCTTCCTCGAATCTAACAGGCAGAACAAATTTTCATAAAAACCCTCATCACCTCACCAATCTGCCAGTTGATCCCAGTCAATATCACTGCCCTCCCCCCCGCCCTTGCCTCTCTGGCCCCTCCTGCTGCTGCCCTCCCTACTGCATCTTAGCCACGAGGCTCTGCTGAGCCCCAACGTGCACTTGCAGGAAGAGAGGCATGTTGGTCGACACACGGGCCACCATTGCCGATGCCACAGCTGCTGACACCCGAGTCTGGCCCGCCATGGCGTATGCGCCAGCGCTGGTGGCAACCCACCCACCGTTCAGCACTGCAATGGGGGAGAGAGAGATGAAGACAGAGGCTCCCATGTTGCCCACCGAGCCTACCACCGAGCCTGCCACGTTCCCCACCGAGCCTACGAGGTTCCCGACAGCTCCGCCCACGCCAGAGATGAGGCCGGACACCGAGCCTCCGAGGTCCGCCGAGGCTCCGAGGTTGGCCTGGACGCCTCCCGAGCCTGCGTTGACCCCAGCGCCGACGCCAGCTGAGGTGTTGAGGACAGGGGAGGAGGCTCCAAGGGAGGCAGAGCCCGAGAGAGTGCCGTTGGGGAGAAACACGCCCACTCCTGCTCCCACGCCGGCAGATGTGTTGAGGAGACCTGTGGAGGCTGAGACACCACCAGTTGCTGCGACGGTGCCGTTGGGGAGAGAGACGCCGACGCTGGTCCCAACACCAGCAGATGTGCTCATGAGGCCGGTAGAGGCGGAGAGATCACCCCCTGCAGACACAACGCCGTTGGGCAGAGAGACGCCAGCGCCAGCGCCAACACCAGCAGATGTGTTGAGAATCCCGGTGGAAGCAGAGAGAGAGCCCGTGCCAGCAACAGTCCCAGTGGGGAGAGAGACGCCCACACCAGCGCCAACAGCAGCAGAGGTGTTCATGAGTCCGGTGGAAGCAGACACCCCGCCTGCTGCTGCAGCAGTGCCGTTAGCCAGGGAAGTGTTAAGGCCAGCACCGACAGTGGCCGAGGTGTTGAGGAGAGTGGCCGAGGCAGCAGCGCCGGCGTTGGCGGTGGTGTTGAGGAGATTGGTAGAGAGAGAGGTGCCGAGATTGGCAGAGAGAGACGGGTTGAGGGCGAGAGAGGCGGCGGTGGCAGTGGAAGAGGAGGAGGAGGAGGAGGAGGAGGAGGAGGAGGGGCAGGGGTTGGCAGTGAGGAGCCTGGGCTTGGATGAGGGCCGGGTGGAGGCATGGGTGTTGAGCTTGTAGGTGACGAAGAGAGCCATGCCCCTGAGGGGTGGGGAAGGGGGGGGGTTTGGGGAGAGGACGAGGGGGATGAGGGGGGATGATGAGGTTGGGGGCAATGAATTAGGGTGGTGAGAGAATTGCAGGTGGATGGCAGATGTTAAAGGAGCACGGAGAGCGTCTGTGTACGTCCCAAAATACCAGGATCAGAAATACGGAGTAGGTAAACAGTAGGCACAGCATAGGTACGTCTGCTACGGAGTAGTCTTGCTATACGAACAACTATACCTACAATATAGGAGAGATCCACATTTTTGTGACGTACTTGAAGAAATACTTTGCACTCGTGAGGTTCGTTTGAGAGTCAAGGGGCACACCTTCTCACGAGCTGCAGCTGGGCTGTTCCCTCCGTCTCGCCTGTGCCACACATCACAAGAGGGCCGTTGACGGACGCTGCAGCAAAGAGGAGGGGGACAGGGGGAGGTAAGATGTGAGTCATCAGTTGAAACCGAATCAACTATCGTTTGACAGAAGGAACTTCCCCAGGAGTGTATCATTTTGGCAAGAAACGGGCGTGGGGCAGAGCAAGCGGCTGCTACTTACCCAGAACCTGAGATCGCATCCCCAGCCTGACAGCAGCAGCAGGTGGAGTGATCAGCGCTGCACGGAGGTAACAACGGGAGAAAGCAGAGAGAGCAAACACAGGATCAGATTTGTACGTGAAGGAACTGAAAATCGCTTTTCAGAAGCTCTCCAGTATCAGACGTTGAGTCAGCTGGAGCATGCTTCGGAGGGAAGCCTCGTACCTGACAGGAGGAGAGCCAGCACCACTGCAGCCTGAACGAGAGTGGAGGAAGCAGCCATGGTTGAGCGCGTAGCGGGATTATTTTCCTAGAGCGAGCGGTAGTAGAGCACAGGGCGCGTCAAGATCGATGGTAGCAGCTTTTTGGGATGTAGCAGGCACTTTGTGTTGGTAGGCTCGATTGTGCTAGAGAGGCTATTGATGCCTCTGTTCGTTCGAATGTTGGAATTTATGTGGGTTCGTTCTGGGATTTCCTACATCGAGCCGCGACATTGGGTGGCGGTGCGGTCGGCTTGGGCTGGCGGAATGAGGGACACGTGTCGTCGTGATGAGTCGTGATTGGGGCAGGCGCTTAGGGGTTTGCGAATCGTGGAACTTGTCATTGCGATTGTGCGACACTGTTTTTGCTGTTACGTATGCGTGATGCAGCTTCGCAAATTCGGTATTTCACCACTGTTCCTTGGGGTTGTCGGGGGGGGCGGCGCAAGTGGCGGAGGGGGGGGGCTGTAAGTTGGCTGTCTTTTCGTCGGGATTCGTCCGGTAGCAAACCCTCACTCGCGAAAGCTGGCGAGAAAACTGTGGAGGGATCGTAACACATTGGGGAACAGATGGAGAACAAATCGGAGATAGAGAAAATGTTTTTAACAGTGTTCTCCTCATCAATATCTCCAAACGCGTACACTCATCACCTCGATTTTACTTTCTGTTGAAGCAGTCTGCCTTCGGTGCCCTACGTCATTGTCCGTACTGAACACATCTGCTCCCAGCATCAACTGGCAGTCTGCTGTGCCTTCACCTGACCATAAAGCGCAATCCGCTAAGTGATCTGTGAGATTCCCTGATGCATCGATCCTTATCCTGGAGTAGAATAGCGTGTGCTGCTAACACGCGTATGGTCGAGCCGTTCTTTCAGATCCCTGTAATCGTCCGTCCGAAATGCGTGCTCGCCGCGCGAAGCGGCGATGCATTCGGAGGAATGAAGGGAGCGAATGTATGGCGAGCGGGAAAGCGAGTCACCGCCGTCCGTAGCAGCGTGAGCAACGGCGCGGAAAGCGGCGCCTGCAATACCAGCAATGCTGCTTCTGAACCCCTGTCGCAGCTCCCTGATTGGTCAGAAATTCCCTACACCCGGCTTCAGCTGCGTCCGGAGCCACAACTACCGCCACGTGTCGAGCACCTGTTGGTCGAACGAGAAGGGAGCGTCGTTGACGTAGTGGCTGATTCGCTGAACCTTCCGCTGGAGTGAGTAAAGAAGAAAGAGCATCTTAGATAGGGGGTGGTCACATTTAGCATGATTGACATTGAGCATGGTCATCATTGAGCATGATCATCATTGAGCATGATCAGCATGGAGCATGATCAGCATGGAGCATGATCAGAAGGGTCATAGTCAGACAGAGCAAAGAAACATTGCATTAGCAAATAAACATTGCATTCTTACTTGGAGACATCCCTATCTCTTTGCGCTTTGCCTCTAACCCATCTTTCCAGATACATCACAGATTTGATTCGATTCGGAGGCATCTACCACTCCCAGATACCACCTCCCCCGCCTCCGAACCTCCCTCCGGAGGCACTTAAAGCCTACCTCGAGTTTATCACTCAGCACACCGCTATCCCCACCTCCTCCTCCTCCTCCTCCTCCTCCTCCTCCTCCTCCTCCTCCTCCTCCTCCTCCTCCTCCTCCTCCTCCTCCTCCTCCTCCTCCTCCTCCTCCTCCTCCTCCTCCTCCTCCTCCTCCTCGCCCTCCTCTAAGGCACCCTTGGCGGAGCTACAGAAAGTTAGGAGGGTGGAATTAGAGGGAATGAGGGGGAGAGGCGCGGGGGAGAAGGAGAGGAGGCCAAGGCAGAGGTCCCGCGACAAGGTGGAGAAAAAAGGAAGGGTCGGTTCGAAATATGTGCGGGGAGGGGATGGGAAGGATGGTAAGGGTGGTCGAGGCGGGGGTGGTCAGCAGCAGCAGCAGCAGCAGCAGCAGCATCAGCAGCAGCAGCAGCAGCAGCAGCAGCATCAGCAGCAGCAGGGCTTAGGGTATGGAGGGGTGGTGAATGCCGGGAGCTACCTTCGCGTTCATGTGCATCCGAAGCGATTCCCCATGTGAGTGGATCGTGGAGATGAGGTTGGGGTTGGGGCTGGAAGCAGGGCGAGCTGAGGGCACAGTTGTGATCTTGTGGAACCATAAAGTGTATTTTTTATAGTTCTACAGATTGCTTACAGTCGCGGTCATGTCGTCGAAGGCATTGGAAGCCTGTAGAAGCGTTCTCGTGCGAGCGACATCTGCTCCTATTTACCTCCTTATTTGCCCTGCTTTAACATACCAATGTAGTATCTATCCTCCTGGATTGTGTGGATGCAGGTGTTACAGCTTTGGCTGGCAAGACGCTATAATTGCTAACGAGGACGACTATGTGGTGATAGATAAACCATACAACGTCCCTGTAAGTGGCTCTCGTTGTGTGCCACTCACACTATGTGCCCTCTAATTGTTCGCATCATTCCCCCACATATCAATCGAGCTAGACCCCCGTTTAGTGTCAAAACTAGCAGCGACATCTCCCTGCCTTGGCAGCATTCCATGGCAAATTAGCACCATCAGTCCAAACCATCCCATGGCTCACATGCCACGCCACCTCATGCACCTCACCAATCAAACGGATCCACGTCCTCCCCTCTCAAATCCCGCATCCCTCTTGTCCTTTCTTGTACCTTCGCCTGCCTTTCCTTTATGTCTCTAGGTGGGCGGCACGGTGGACAATCAGTTGGAGTGTTGCGCCTACTTCGGCGGGCAAGCGGTGGGGCTGGGCAGGCAGCTGCAGCTGACGCATCAACTGGACATGTGCACGCAGGGATGGTGAGTGAATGTGGCTCAAGTCAGGGTTTTGGGCTTATGGTCGTGAGTCGTGACCACATGCACATTTGAACTGCCCACTCCCACACGTCATCTTTTCACTCACCGCTCTCAACATTCCCGCTCTCATCATTCCCTCTCTCATCATGCTCTCCTTCCCCTTCCCCCCCCTCTCCTCCTCTAGTGTGGTGATGGCCAAGAGTCGCCAGTTTGCCAGCAAGTTCAACCAGCTGCTGCAGGTCTGTAGATTCGCTGACGCACCGTGACTACACTTGGTGTGTACCTTTGTCGCTTTCCTGGAAATCTCATCCCTTCGGTGTGTGACTCTCATATTCATTGCATGATGATGCCACCAACTGTTGCACTCATATTTGATCCCCTTGGAGGCTCTCTGCTTCTTTCCTCTTCTCGATCGCTCCACCCCCTTCCCCCCCCCCCCCCCCCCTCCCCCTCCCAACAGGCACGCAAGGTTCGGAAGTTGTACAAGGCCCTAACCGCATCGGCTCCTCCTCCGGGCAGGCACATACATTTCATGTTGCCCGACCCGTACTCGCCAAAGATTGTATCACGAGAAGCCGTGCCAGGCTGGCTGCGCTGCGAGCTTGTGATTCGCCAAGTGGAGGAGGTCTCCTGGCCTGCTTCTGCTGCGCTGGCTGCTGCTGAGGTGGACTGCTCTCATTGGCCAGCTGCTGATGTGGCGTACGAGTGCCTGGTGGAGCTGATTACAGGAAGAACGCACCAGGTATGGCGCTCAGCTGATGTGGCATTGCATTGAGCTCTATGTGAGGGGATGATCTGGAATGGCATGTGAGTGATGTGGCATGGCACGGAAAGGGATGCATTGGTGTTGCATTTTCAGCACTTGTGCCTGGAACGAACCTGACCTGTATGTTTTCCTTTTCCCTATTTCTGTCTCTCAGCTTCGGGCTCAGTTTGCAGCCTTGGGCGCTCCTCTTATTGGTGACACCTTGTACGGACCTTCGGAGGCCCAAAGAGCTTCAGCTCTGGTTTTAAATGGATGCATTTTCCCTGATCACGATCCTTCCAACGTGAGCGCAAATGGAATGGGGGGCTTGGACCCAGAGAGGAGCAAGCCTGTAGTCAATGCAGATGTGCTTTCCCAAGCGAAACGACTTTTTGGGGTGGCGCCAGAAGCGGCTATTGGCTTGCAGGCATTCTCTGTGAGCTGGGAGGAGGAACTTGAAGAAGGTATGGGGCGATTAAGAACCGTTCACAAGCAATATAAGGCAGGTAGTCCATGGTGGAAATAATATATACATGCATTGGATGCTGTGAATGTTAGACTTGTCTGGGAATGGGAAATGCGTAGGAGACTTCGCAGTCAAGGATACTCAATAACGCGCCCTAATTGCGCGCCAACTATAGGGGACACGTGGCGTCAAAAGGTCAGCTTGTCCTCTACCAGCAACCAATCTGCGGCTCCCGTGCGCCTGACTGGCAGAGATCCACCCGCTGCTTGTCAGGGGAGCGTGTGTCTCGCTGGCAGAAAGTTGCCCTCGGGAACTCCACTGTCGGGGCGTGGACTGGTCGGGGAAGGGGTGTCTGTCAGCAGGGCAAGCGGAGATTCTTCGTGAAGCTCATTCCGGGTGCGGGGGAGATTTTCATCCGCTTGCGCTTGCGCCTCATTCTTCCGCTTGCGCGTCTGTTAGAATTGGGAGGGATCAAGGTCTTGGGTTTGTCGGCAGTAGGGTTGTCACCTAGGAGCTATTTTCTTTTGCCTAGAACCACGAATTCGGACTGGATTTATATTATTCTGCACTTCCTGCTTGTAATAGCTTGCCATACGGACTCGTCTAGTGGACTTCACCAGCAGAATCTCGAATCTGACTGTCAGTGGGGAGGCAGACGGATCAGACCAGCACGCAGTTTTTCCAGGCAAGCAGTTCATCCACGGTTGCGATCCGCCTCTCTGCGATCCAATCCCCAGGCTTTCGTAGCCGATCCTGCAATGCCGTACGTACCGCCTCATTTACGCGGCAAAGCGGGCGGATCGGGGGAAGGCTCCGCTCCCCCGTCCTCGTCCCTGGGGACCCGATCCGATCCGCCGGGCCGCTATAACGACCGCAACGACTACGGCAGCTTCGGCTCCAGAAGCTTCGGAGGATCCCGGGATAGAGACGATCGCAGAGACGATCGCAGGGACGATCGCAGGGGAGGGGATGATCGGTTTGGTAGGGATAGTGGCGGCGGCAGCAGCAGCTTCAGCAGCAGCCGTCGGCCGGTAGATTCTCGCGGGAGCGGGCCTCCGGAGGCCGTGTGGCCCAACTGGAAGCCGTCTGACCGCGTGATCCGCTTGCAAGAGGACCAGGTCAGCTGCTGATCCCCTCAAATTAGATACCCTCAAATTTGATACCCTCAAATTAGATACCCTCAATATGTCAGTCCCTGATAAATGCCGTCTGACCGCGTGATCCGCTTGCAAGAGGATCAGGTCAGCTGGTGATGCTCTCAAATGTGTTAGTCCCGGATAAAAGGCCGTCTGACCGTGTCATATGCTTGCAAGAAGATCAGGTTAGCCCCCAGATACGGCGGTTCCCGATAAGAGCCGTTGAACGGTGTGATCTGCTTGCAATAAGATCAGCTCAGCTCCTGACACCGTCAAATATGCCTGGTATTTCTGGTAACGTCAGAATGGTCAGTTTACGTCCGGACTCTTTATGTTTAGGGAGACCTGTCATGTTACGTCGGAGACGTCGCTCCACAAGGCTCGTCGTGTTGACCAGAAGGGCGTGTCATGATAGGCGTGTCATTTCTCTCTATGATTGTAGTCTTAGTCGTCGACAGTATGACATAGAATGTTCGTTCGAAGCTTCCTTGTGTTGGTAGTTGATCGTTGATCGTTTATCGTTGATCGACGGTGGGTAGTTGACTGATGCTGAAAGACAATCTCCGCACTTCTGTGGTCCGTTTACGCTGACATTCAACCTGACTGAAAAGCTTTCCGTCTGGTCCGGGTTGTTGACATTGAATGGATCCGGTGCAGGTACCTCACTCTGAAAAACAGTTTCATTTGAACTGACATTTTCCTGAATTGGAGTGATGTTGTATTGATTAACATTGATCTGACTCTGCGTTGCACCGGCCTGTCAATGATTTGACATCGTCCTAGCATTGACCGACATTCTCCTGACATGGCACCGCATTGAAGGACGTCACATTGACATCGAATGACATCAAGTAACATCATGCTGACATTGAATGAGTGTCCTGACATTGATTACTATCGTCCTGTTATTGAATGTCATGGAACGCCATGGAATAACTTCGATGGAACGACATGGAATGGCATGTATTGACATGGTATGCCGTTGAATGACGTCGATAAATTGGCTTGGAATGGCATGTATTGACATGGAATGACATGGAATGACGTGGAATGACGTGGAATGGCGTGGAATGGCATGGAATGACATGGAATGACACGGAATGACATGTAATGACACGGAATGACATGGAATGTCGTGGAATGGCTTCCATGAAATGACATCGTTCTGCTGCAGATCGCTGAGGTCCGTTCGCGTCTGAACGTGACGGTGGAGATCACACCTGGCACAGGCGTCGCTCCGGCTCCGATTGAGTCCTTCGATGACATGGTGAGCTCGCTCGCTCGCTTGCGTGTCATTTGTAGTGTTCTGATTGTTTATTCTACAGAATGGTGAGCTCACTTGCGTGCCCGTCATTTACCATGTCTAGCCCACAGCTGCACCAAACCCACGCCAATCCAAACCCACCCCACACACATCCCCCCCTCCTCTCTGGATCTCTCCTCTCCTTCTCGCTCCTCCCCCGCTCTTCCTTCCTCTCAGGGTCTGCAGCCAACATCTCCAAGGACATCGTCTACCACAACCACACCAACCCCACGCCCATCCAGGCCCACCCCCATGCATCCAATCCCCGGCTCACACATCCCCCTTTTCCCTCCTTCTCTCTCCCTCCCCCACGCCCCCCCCTCCCAGGGTCTGCACGCCAACATCTCAAAGGACATCGTGTACCACAGCTACACCAACCCCACGCCCATCCAGGCCCAGGCCATGCCCATCGCCCTCTCTGGCCGCGACCTCCTCGGGTGCGCCGAGACTGGCAGTGGCAAAACGGCCGCCTTCTCCATCCCCATGATCCAAGTGAGCGCTCTTCAGTTAGGTGTCTCTTGAGTTGACTCAGTCACCGCAGCCTTCTCCATCCCCGTGAATCCATGATCCAAGTGAGCCCTCTGCACCGCTATCCCCTTCATCTCGATAATGCACAACGTTTCCTGTACTGCTTTCCTCACGCTTTTGCCATCAAGATCATCCCGTGCCTTATTCATACTTCTTTCTTCCTCCGTCACGACCCTCCGCCCCCCCTCGTGCCCGCCCGCAGCATTGCCTGGGTCAAGCCCCTCTGAAGCCTGGGGATGGGCCTCTAGCGCTGGTGCTCGCTCCCACTCGCGAACTGGCCCAGCAGATTGAGAAGGAGGTGAAATTTGCTTGCTGGGAAATAGGATCTTGAAAGTCATTAGACGTCCCACGGCTATAAGGTGAGGGGGTGAGGGCAGGCAGTCTGTCTGCAAAAGGTTGCAATGTTTGAGGCGCCTCAAAAAGGGCAGTCAGTTTTTCTGCAAACGGTTGCAATTTTTGAGGCGCCTCAAAAAGGGCAGTCAATTTTTCTGCAAACGGTTGCATTGCGGTCCTCACAGTGTGCCGCACATACAGATTGAGCAGCCCCGGCCCTTTTGTGGCGACTTATGCCCTTATGCCCTTGTGAAGGCCCCGCACATACAGTGTGCGGCGACTTATGCCCTTTTGTGCCCTTGTGAAAGCCCTGCAGGTGACAGCGTTCAGTGAGCCTCTCCTCAGACGGGTTCAAGACGGCCGTTATAGTTGGCGGCACACACATAAGCGAGCAGCGGTCCACGCTGCGAGGGGGCGTGCAGGTGGTGGTGACTGCGTCCACCACCCACTCACCCACGCCCTCTCTCCCTCTCTTGTCTTCCCATACTCCCAACACTCTGAACCCCAGGTGAAAGCGTTCAGCCTGTCCTCAGACGGGTTCAAGACGGCCATCATAGTGGGCGGCACGCACATGAGCGAGCAGCGGTCCATGCTGCGAGGAGGCGTGCAGGTGGTGGTGGCTACTCCTGGGCGCTTCATCGACCACCTGCAGCAGGGCAACACGTCGCTCTCGCGGGTGTCCTTTGTGGTGCTGGACGAGGCAGACCGCATGCTGGACATGGGGTTTGAGCCCCAGATGAAAGAGGTGAGAGGCGATGGAGGGTTGCAGTTCTGGTCTGGAGGGGAGAGTTGAGGAGGAATGCATGTGGTGGTGGCAACGCCCGGGCGCTTCATTGACCACCTGCAGCAGGGCAACACGGCTCTCTCACAGGTGTCCTTGGTTGTCCTGGGCGAGGCTGACCGCATGCTGGACATGGGGTTTGAGCCGCAGATTAAAGAGGCGAGATTTGAATACACAGTACCCGGGTCTAAGTTTGGACGAGGCTGACCACGATGCCCGAGGAGATCGAGGCACTGGTGCAGGTTTACCTGAAGAACCCCATGCGCGTTATAGTGGGACGCCACAGGTGGCGCGCGTCTCATGCTCCTCCGCTCTCTTCCCCTTCCCCTTCCCCCCTCTTGTCTCCCTCCTCTCCCCCCCCCCTTCCCCCCAGATCATGTCGAACCTCCCCTCCTACCACCAGACGGTGCTGTTCTCAGCCACAATGCCCGACGGGATAGAGGCGCGCACACAGGACAGGAATACCTCAAAACCCCTTCTCTCTATGCCTGCCCATTTTCTACTCCCCTCCTCTCCCTCCCCCCCCCCCCTTCAGATCATGTCGAACCTGCCCTCCAAGCACCAGACGCTGCTGTTCTCCGCCACAATGCCAGAGGAGATCGAGGCTCTGGCCCAGGAGTACCTCAAGAACCCCGTGCGCGTTAAAGTGGGGCGCGTCAGCAGCCCCACTCAGAACGTGACGCAGTCGCTGGAGAAGGTTGCGGAGAAGGATAAGGTGAGAGGGAGAATGTGGGGAGCCAGGGAAGAGAGGGTAGGAGGGTAGGAGGGAGGGAGGGAAGGAGGGAAAGGAAGGGATCAGCAGCCCAGCAGCCCCACTCAGAACGTGACGCAGTCGCTGGAGAGGTTGCGGAGAAGGACAAGGTGAGAGGCAGGGGGGTTGCGGGGGGGAGGGGGGATTGGGAGGGGAAGGGGTCATTCGCCTAGTAGCCCCACTCACAGCGTGACGCAGTCGCTGGAGAAGGTTGCGGAGAAGGACAAGGTGGGCAAAAGAAAGGGGGAGAAGTCAAAGATGAGGGGGTAGGAGGGAGGGACGGTAGAAGAGAAAGGAAGGGATCGGCAGCCCAGCAGCCCAGCAGCCCAGCAACCCAGCAGCCCAGCAGCCCCACTCACAGCGTGACGCAGTCGCTGGAGAAGGTTGCGGAGAAGGACAAGGTGAGAGGCAGAAAGGCGGGCTAGGGAGGACGGCTAGGGAGGGGGGGCCCTAGGGAGAGGACGGCTTAGAGAAAGGGGGATAGGAAGGGGGGTCTAGGGAAAGGGGAGCAGGAGAAGGGAGGGGATTGACCGCCTATTTCAGGTGGATCGTCCTCTGCAGCTGCTGGTGGAGGAGATGGCAGCCGCGGAGATTGGACCCTCCCTCTCAAATCCACCCTCTGTTCGTCCCATGCTCTGTTTCAACCCTTCCTTGCATGCCCTGTCTGTCCGCCCTGATTTTTGAGTCGACTCAAAGATCACCTACTCAAAAAACTCCTTGCATGCCCTGTCTGTCCGCCCTTCTCTCAGGTGGATCGTCTGCTACAGCTGCTGGTGGAGGAGATGGCAGCTGCAGAGAGTGGCCAGCAGCCGCTGCCTCTCACCATCGTGTTCGTGGAGAGGAAGGTGAGAGCTGCAGCTGTGGAAGGTGAGAGCTGCAGCTGTGGAAGGTGAGAGCTGCAGCTGTGGAAGGTGAGAGCTGCAGCTGTGGAATGTGAGAGCTGCAGCTGTGGAAGGTGAGAGCTGCAGCTGTGGAAGGTGAGAGCTGCTGCTGTGGAAGGTGAGAGCTGCAGCTGTGGAAGGTGAGAGCTGCAGCTGTGGAAGGTGAGAGCTGCAGCTGTGGAAGGTGAGAGCTGCTGCTGTGGAAGGTGAGAGTTGCGTTTGAGTCGACAGAAATAAGAGTGCTGAATTGCAGTGCGTCAGTCACACAGACAGCAGCCAGCAGCCGCTGCCGCTCACCATCGTGTTCGTGGAGAGGAAGATGAGGAGGGCGGAGGGAGGAGTGACGGGTGTGCAGCGAGGAGGGAGGAGGGAGGAATGGGGAAGAGGGGCTGAGTTGATTCAGCTGCTTTGAGCTTTTGCCTTGCCTGGCAGGCATTGTTTGCTCACCACCTGTCCACAGCTGTGTCAACCTGTTTGGGCAAACAGCAGCCACTACTGTCTCCACTTACTTACAGTCGGATTCTCATTGCTGTGCTGGTTTCTGGGCACCCCATCACCCTGTAGCAGGTGAAGTGCGACGAGGTGTGTGAGGCGCTGACAGCCTTAGGCCTCACGGCAACAGCGCCTCCCATCCGCAATGACTCATTGTGCTACCATGTCACCCATGGCCCCATGGTCCTATGACCCCATAACAGGTGAAGTGCGACGAGGTGTGTGAGGCGCTGACAGCCCAAGGCCTCAAGGCAGCAGCGTTGCATGGCGGACGCAGCCAGGGGGAGAGAGAAGCCGCTCTGCTGGACTTCAGGAAGAACACCATCAACATCCTGGTGCGTGCTGGGTGCTTGTTTCTCATTCCACCATCAACATCCTGGTGGGTGCTGGGTCGCACCCCCTGCTGGGTCCCACTCCCTGCTGGGTCGCACCCTCTGCTGGGTGTTGGTTGTGTGTAGTGAGAGAGAAGCTCAGATCACGGTACTCGTGAAGGGAGGGAGGGAGGTGGCTCTGCTGGACTTCAGGAAGACAAGATCAATATCATATCAATGAACCCATGCCACCCATGCCCCATGCCACCCATGCCCCATGCCACCCATGCCCCATGCCACCCATGCCCCATGCCATCCTGGTGGGTGCTGGGTCGCACCCCCTGCTGGGTCCCACTCCCTGCTGGGTCGCACCCTCTGCTGGGTGTTGGTTGTGTGTAGTGAGAGAGAAGCTCAGATCACGGTACTCGTGAAGGGAGGGAGGGAGGTGGCTCTGCTGGACTTCAGGAAGACAAGATCAATATCATATCAATGAACCCATGCCACCCATGCCCCATGCCACCCATGCCCCATGCCACCCATGCCCCATGCCACCCATGCCCCATGCCACCCATGCCCCATGCCACCAATGCCCCATGCCACCCAGGCCCCATCCCACCCGTGCCCCATGCCACCCATGCCCCATGCCATCCATCCATGCATCACCCTATGCCCCCTGCCATCCGTGCCCCATCACTGCAGGTGGCAACGGATGTGGCGTCAAGAGGGCTGGACGTTTCGGGGGTGGCAATGGTCATCAACATGGACCTACCCAAGGCGAGTATTGTGTGATGATAAACACGATAGTAGTCGTGTACCCTTGTGGGTGTTGGCGGTCTTGCGCGTCGGCGACCTCTGGCCGTCAGAGCCAGCCTCTGGCGCCTCCGGGGCCATGACCTCGGGCGGCAATCTCCTCGGGCGGCATGACCTAGGGCGGCATGACCTTGGACGGCATGACCTTGGGCGGCATGACCTCGGACGGCATGACCTCGGGCGGCATGACCTCGGACAGCATGGCCTCGGGCGGCATGACCTTGGGCGGCATCCCCTCGGGCGGCATCCCCTCGGGCGGCATGACCTCGGGCGGCAATCCCCATGGGCGGCATACCCTCGGGCGGCATACCCTCGGGCGGAATCCCCTCGGGCGGCATCCCCTCAGGCGGCAATGCCCTCGGGCGGCTTTCCCTCGGGCGGCATGAGCTCGGGTGGGCGACATGACCTCGGGCGGCAATCCCCATGGGCGGCATGCCCTCGGGTGACATGACGTCGGGCGGTATGACCTTGGGCGGCATGCCTCTTGGGCGGCATGCCCTCGGGCGTCATCCCCTCGTGCGGCATCCGCTCGGCCAGCATGCCCCTTGGGCGGCATGCCCTCGGGCAGCATGACCTCGGGCGGTATGACCTCTGGCGGCAATGCCCTTGGGTGGCTTTGCCCCTCGGGCGGCTTGCCCTTGGACGGCATCCCCTCGGGCGGCATCCCCTCGGGCGGCATCCCCTCGGGCGGCATCCCCTCGGGCGGCATCCCCTCGGGCGGCATGACCTCGGGCGGCAGTCCCCTCTGGCGGCATGCCATCTGGCGGCATGACCTTGGGGGGCACGCCCTTGGGGATGCCCTAGAGGACCGTGCGCATCGCACTGGCCATGCTCTTATGGAATATCCCTCGGGCATGCACGCTCCCTGACCTCCCTGACCTCCCTGACCTCCCTGACCTCCCTGACCTCCCTGACCTCCCTGACTTGCTCCCACAGGCCCTAGAGGACCATGTGCATCGCACCGGTCATGCTCTCATTCAAACTGCTCATACATCCCTGTCCTCTTTGTCCTCCCTCACCTGCCTGACCTCCTCCCACAGGCCCTGGAGGACTATGTTCATCGCATCGGTCGAACAGGGCGAGCGGGGGCGTCGGGCCGTGCTGTGTCCTTCTACACTGATAGAGATGCGGTGAGATGACGGGGAGCAGTGAGAGACTGATGGAGTGAGAGAGGGATGCGGGGTGATGGGGTGCATGGTAGGATGTTTCTTGCAGGTAGCCAGCCAGGTCAGCATGAGAACATTGTCTTCTGCCCATCATGCGTTCCTCTCCTTTTTGTGCCTGCTTTTAACAGTAATTGAAAACTCATCGAGCACTTCCCTTGTTTGGTTCCCACCATCCAATTTTCTTTCAGTTTCTGGTGGCTCAGATCAAGAAGGCGCTGTCAGAAGCAGAGGCAGGCAACACCATGGCGTTTGCAACTGGCAAGGTATGGCAGCAGTGCCCTTTCCTGTCATTCCTTAGCATTCCCCTTCTCAGTTTCTGGTAGCTCGGATCCGAATAGGTTTGAGGCAGAGGCAGAGGCAGGCAACGCCATGGCGTTTGCATCTGGCAAGGTGACGGAAGGGATGAGGTCAACTAAAGGAAAGGCATGTGGTCTGTTCATGGTGGAAACCATCTTCGTTAGGGCATGTATAGAGGAATGAGAATATGCGAGATTTCATGAAAGACAAACACTAGCCACTCACCGCTCCTCCTGAGCCCTCATCCCTCAACCCTCACCTCTCATCCCCTGTCCACCGCACTCCACCGCGTCCAGGCTGCGAGGAGGAAGGAGAAGGAAGAGGCGGCAGCGTTCAGAGAGAACCGGGCGTCCACAGCCTCAGGTGTCACGATGGTGGGGGCCACAGCAGTGAAGATAGTGGATCAGAAGTACAAGCACATGATCGCGGCTCAATCGGGGGCGGATAAGGTGGAGGGAGCGGCAGATGATGCGTGGGATGACTAGGAGCTGGGAGCAACGAGGTGAAGGGGTGACGGGGAAGGGGAAATTATGGCTGCTGCCAATGACAAGCGGAGATTAGTTGAAGCGTTGACCAGTGTTAACTCCAGCTTGTGCTCATTTTCTTGAGATCAATAATGTAAGGAATGGAAAACTTCAAGCCACCCTTAGGAATGTGTCTTCACATTTCAATCACTGCGTGTTAGGGCAGCGTTGTACACCTGCTATCGCTCACTGTTTCGGGGATTCTCGTACAGTTATCGTCAGCCAGTCACCACGTCAGCAACCACAACCGCCACGCCGTTCGGATGTCAGTCGGCCGAGGCGTTCACCTCGAAATTGATGATCATTGTCCACAATTGGCTGATCGCTGCCGTCTAACGAGCAGTCCCATTGCATCGCAGCCGCTTCTTCTGGATCAGATTCACGCGACATTCTCGAGGGGCCAATCTCTAGGATTCTCCCAGCCCACAACAGGGAGCATCTTTTCCACCCCACATAGAAATCCTGATTCACTAATGAAACTGGTTTCAGGGAGTTCCTTCCTGATCAGCATAGTTTCGTTCTACATATCTCTACCAGCCGATCTAGCAGGATCGGCTTGCCTGTAGGCGCGACTAACACTCCCTGTGAGCTCGTGCTGCTTGTGGGGAATAATTCGCTCCTATGGCGGATAATAAGGATGGAATATCCGTGGGAAAGGTTGCTGGAGTCGCAGCATGGGCAGCCGTCACGGGGAAATTAGGTCTGCCTTCGTTGCTTCGCGTGACGGAGCTCTTCGCTTTTAACGGCGAGGCTGTCGTTAATTCCGACATAATCCTTTCGCTCCTCGTACGTTTTTTTTTTTTTTTTTTTTTTTTTTTTTTAATTCTCACGAACATCTGCGATCTACTTACCTGCAGACAATTCGTCTCGTTCCTATCTGATGTACTACCTGCCGCTTCCGACGATGGTGAACCGTGGAAGTTCTACCAAATAGACTGGAGCATCTCAGGATGTCTTGAGACCCGTTTCAATTCGCTTGGAAGCTTCCTCGACA